GCACCACCTCAAAGCCTGCTGTGAGGAGCAGAAGTGGAGCCACGCGAGGTGTTCAGAGCCTGTGTTAGGATCATTTTGACGAGGGAGGAGTAGGTTATTACAGGGGACTGAAAAGATCAGGAAAGTCTCCTGGGATAGCTTTAGGTTCCAGCTGAGCCTAGAAAGAAGAATTGTTATTTGAAAAACAAAAAAACAGCTAGAGTCTAGATGCAGCCAACAAAGCGCTTTTCAAACAGCAGGAGCAGCTGGGAAATGAAACAACAAAGAGAACACATCCCACTTCAGGGTGTGGTATGTGGGCTGATGGATTAAGACAGATGCGCAGAGATTCCAAGAGAAGTAGAGAAAATAAAGCTGGAAACCGAAGTGAGACATAGGTCCTAAGCTGGAAAGGCATCTTTAGATACCTCTGGTCATGGGGACTAGCCATTGCTTTTCTGTTACCTAAGTGAAAAGGTATTTCTTGTCTCATAATCCTGTTTTTCTTCCTATTTTAAATTTAAAATTTGAATTCTAAGCCTATAATACCTCAGTAGCTCCAAACTATATATTTTTGTTTTTCTACGTCTGCCTGGAGCACTTATCATGGTAAAAAAAAAAAAAAAAAAAAAAAAAAAAAAAACAAATTCAATTAAGTGCACAACACAAACACAAAATATAATTACATAAAAATCATACTGGTAGGCTGTTATGCTGGATTTTAGGGCCTTTGCTGTCTGTTTTACAGTTCATGAAACAATTCTTAACAAAACCAATCTCAGCAGGAAGAGATAACCTAAACTGTCATAGGATAATGGTTTCAATTGTTGCATGAATTATTAAAGTCATATAAAACTTTAGAAAAAAGTTTGAGCGCCCCCTTGTGGTAATACATTTTCAGATAGGAACTCAAATCCAAATTCTTTGTGTTTGAGCGACCCAGGAGAGAAATAAATTTATTTATTTATTTATTTATTTATTTTCAGACAAAAAGACCAGGAAAGCCTTGAAAAATGTTTTCAGAATGTGCAAAAGAGGGCTGTTTATTTGAAGGACACTGAATATCAGAAATATCAGAGTGTACACTGATGGTCCTTGGACAGCATCCTGCTGACAGATGGAGTGTGTGTGTGTTAATGTGTGCTAATTATTAACATTTAAAATATTCTAGGACATGGTGTTAAAATCCAGGTTTCCAGTTTCTCTTTAAATATCGGAGGATCTGGGAGCCCCGAGTCTGCAATAATTAGCTAGAACTGAGTAGCTCACGCTCCAGAACAGTTCTCATTTCACCACATCTCCACCAGACAACTTCACTTACTGTGTTACTCTCCTGGCTGCGTTTGGCTTGTGCGTCCATGATCCCTGTTAAAGCAGGAAGTACATAGCAAAAAGACTCCAATGTGGAAAGAGCACAAATGTTGGGAAAAGGATTCTTCTGGTTTCCAGCTTTGTCCATTCCTGGCTGGGCCACCTTGAGCAAAAACAGTCTGCATCATTAAGCCACTGCATTCTTGCATTCTCATCATTTCTTGTATTTAGCCAATCCTACTTGTTTTTTCCTTTTAACTAAATAGCGTAAAAATAGAGCATGTAGAGCAGGTATGGATTATACTCAACACTTTTTTTAAGTGAAGTTTATTTCTCTAAAACAAGGGAATTATGATTGAGCTTTCAGCTATCTAGTTCATAGCGACTGAAACACCTTGTATGGCGTCCCTCCCACTCCCCATGAGGTCTTAAGCAATCACAACTGTTCAAAGCGGTGCCCTCTGGTTGACCCTTTCTTATCAGTTATGTTTCTGTTTCCACTCTAGTGTCACCTTCTCAGACAAGCTTCCCTGATTACCTTGCTACAGCAGCCTTCCCAGCCACTCTATCACATTTAACTCATTTCACCTTTTTTCTTAGTCATTGTCAGTAGCAGAAGTTGCTTGCTTCATTTTTAAACATTTACTCATGTATTTATTCAGTGTGTTTTTTGTGATGGTTTCTTGTCGCATCCTCTTTATGGAAAAAGATCTGCGTGTTTAATGCTGGGTTCCAGAGCCTAGTACAGTGCCTGACACCAAGTGCCCCACGGATAGTTATGCACTTCGTAGGGTAGTGCTTCCCACCCTAGACTGAAGACTGGTTGGTTCTATATATTCCTACTTGTTAAATCCAGGGAGATTAGACCCAGTGAGAAAATGAATAATGATAACAACAACAAAAATCACATGGCCAATGGGTAACACTTTTAGTCGGGAACATCAGGAACAGCACTTGAACTCAAACTTCGGCCCTCACTCCTAGTCCAGTGCTCTTTCCCTCCACCACTCAGCCCCCACCATTATCTAGTCGCCTGCTGAGTTCAGATACGTGGGGGCCTATCTGTGCTATAGGTCCAAACGGCTGTTTTCGCTGGGTCTTATCTATTGTCCCACTAGGGGCAAACAACTCCCATGGAATCACCTTATTCCACATTCAGTTGCGATCAGTTGAAATTCCAGCCGTGGCTCCTTTTGCAGCAGGCTGATTTTCATCTGCTGATGAACTATTTCAGGGTCACTTATGCGTTTCTGAATTCCATCTCAAACACATTTATTAACTCTGAGGTCAATAACCCAAACACCTTGCCCTTCAGACCTATCTCTATGTGGCTAATTCTCATCTCAGTGGTGCCCTTAATTACTTCACAGAGTTTATGTGATGGTCAAGCAGAAAAATTAATTATACCACGACTGCAAATATTTTGAGCTCCATAAAAACAAGAATGACAACCATGGTTATCGCTGAGCACTAACTACATCGTAGGCACAGTACTATATTCTATGCAAGCTTTATCTCTTTTAATCCCAAATAGAGAAGCTCTATGGAGTAGGACTCTTATTATCCCTATTTTTAGAGATGAGAAATTTTGAGAGGTTGAACAATTTCCTTAAAGTCACATGACATATGTTCATATTTGCCTATTTTAAATGAGGATGAACATTCCCATAAAATGTTTGGTTGACCAACAAACAAAACATCAAGGCGTAATTGCTGAATTATGAGCAACAATGTGAATAACATTTTGTGCCTCCTAACCTGCAGTATGGAAGCAAAAGATACCTTCTGTAGCTCTAAGATTCTCACTAATATTGCAAGCCAGCACTGAGCCCTGAGCCCGGCTGAGCCATTCAGATACATAAGTATGAACCAATGCCAAGTTAGAATGAGCTAGCTATGTTTATACAGCATCTACCTTCAAAAGTTTCAAAGTTTTGCAAAAATATCAGAAGTCGTATTAACCAATTTTCTTTTTTCGTTGCAAATACTGTATTCCTGTTTTCAGTAGAAACCAGACAGCACAGAGAATAAAGCTGGGGGGCTCCTCTTTTTGGTGCAATGCTTAGTTGAGTACAGTCTCACCCTCCCCCAACAACTTCCAGAACCCTGCAAATTCTGATCCAGTGTTTCTACCTACTGCAATGGGCAGGTCACCTAATTTGTGGTTGTTTGTTATTGTTTTTCTATATAAAAGGAGCACAATTATATTCTATCTCAAAGGAAATCATAAAGTTAGGACTTTGCTTTCCCTTTGAAGATCAAGCCATCCAAAATAGCTGCTAATTAATAATTATCCAGCATATTGGTGAATATATTTTACTATCTGAAGTATTACATAATCTTTAATTACTCTTTCCATTTCTTTCTCATCACTTAACTTAAGCATAATGTGCTAGCTGGTGCAGAATATGTTTGTTTACAAAAGAAATCCAGTTAATAAAATGGACTATAATAATGGGGTCTTATTAAAGAGATGTATCTAGATCCACAGATTATGTCCATGTACTAGTCTGGAAATATTTTCAACAGCTGTCTGGAAATTGAAAGGGTAAAATGTTCTAAAAATGCTTAACTTTAAATAAGGTAGGTACTTAGGTACAATGAAAATCAAGCTTATTTTTAATTTATAGAAAGTTGGAAATTGTATACCGTAAGCATTTGTTCAAAAAGTGCATTGCTCTTAGGAGGTGAAGTCCTTGGGGGACAGTTTGTCATCTCTCATCATCTTCCTTACAAATTAGCTCAAGAATAAGGGAGTAAAATTCTCATTGTAAATTTGGCAACACACATAAACCAATTCCCTAATCTTATTACTGCACAGTACACAAATGATCCACGTAAAAATAAGCACTCGCTTTATTAAATCATCTTCATTATAATCTAATGAGACAATAAAATCAGCATGTCAACAGATAATTTCATTTCTTACATCATAGTAATATTTTCATGCAGATAACAGAAGTTTTTGTTTCACAATGCAACTGCTGTAAGTTAAATTGATTCAATTTAATTAGCAAGCATTTATTCAGTGCCTACCTGTGCACAGCACTATACTAGGCATACAAAAGAGATAGAAGATAAGATCCCTGCTTACTGGAAGCTTACAATCTGGATAGGAAAGATCCACACATACAAGAAACAATAAAGAACTACTACAATGCACAGGAAAGTCAATACATTAATAAAATCTGAATTAAAAACACAAGTCCAAATGCAGATGATCAAGGGAGTGGAACAGTTGGGAATAAAGACTAGTCTGGATAATTTGACCAGAGGAAGCAAGCCTTGAATTTGGTATGATGGAAGTAATGAGCACATGGATTGCTAGAGGAACAGGGTGATCATTCTACGGCCAGTAAAAGATAGAAAAGAAGGAGATATTCAAAGACAGGGTAACACAAACCAGCAAGTCAACTGCAGGGAATGGCAGGCAAATTGGCTCACCTCTGGAAAAGGACGAGAGTTAGGAGGTGTAATTGAAGTCACACAGGCCGGCTAAGAGCATTCAAAGTCAAGTTAAACTTTAAGTAAATAATAATGCTTAAGCAATATATTTACTGAAGCTCCACCCCCCTATGAAAGTGTTTGTTTTCCTAACCTTAACAAAAAGCAAAGCAAAACTATGCAATATGAGAATCTAAACTCAGGAGATAGGATCATTGGAGGTCCAACGATCAGACTGCGATACAATAGCAATCATTTGTGGTGTCTTTTTTTTTTACTCATAAAAGTTGGGTTGTCTAAGACCCATGTACTTCCTCAGCCCTGTGCTGATCTGGTCCCTAATTCACTTAGATATTTCTTCTACAACAGCCATTTTATTTCATATTAAATCCAGCAGCAAATAAAAAGGCCTTGGGTGCATATATGTGTGGGTCATGGGTGGGGAGACAGGCAGAAAATAAAAGAGAAAACAGGGGGTTGGTTTCAAACAGTGAGTTTAGGAACGCTTAACGTGAGTACTTAATGAAGATGTTTCTAAACTTGGAGAAAGAAGCTAAAGTAGCCCTGCTCCCAGGCCAAGGGCACTAAGGCAGAAGAAATGTACAAAGTGAAATGAGCGTAAGGTCTCTAAATTAACCTATATTGCTGAACCACATCCTCCTTTAAATTCAATTTGTTAGAGAAAAGGATGTCAAGGAAACGGGTCAGGGGAGAAAATGGCAGTGCAGGAACAAATCCTTAATGTGGATTAAGGTGGAGATCCTTCTTGTCTCAGGAGGCCTGGTGATGACTTATTGACCAGTCTGGCCTTGATAATCCTTCAGGGTTAAAACAGGAGCATAGCAACTCCACAATGCTTGTTCTCTGTGCCTTCACATAAGTCACTGCCCTTAAACAGCGAGGAGAAGAGTACTTCTGGGTCCACAACATATCTGTGAAAGTTACTGGCCACCAGCAGCTGCAGCTGTTAAAAGTAAATTAATTAATTAATAATAAAAGAGAGAGAAGATGAGGAGGAAGCACATAAAGACATTGCTTTCAATGTGCTTATTGATTCTGAATGAGGTATCCTGAAATCCATATTTTCCAAATGTGCTGCACATTGAGGGTTTTTTTTTTAATTAATCAAAGTTTTTTAAAAATTTACTTTTATTGATTTCAGAGAGGAAGGGAGAGGAAGCGAGAGAGAAACATCAATGATGAAGAGAGAATCATTGGTGGGTTGCTTTCTGCACCCCCCCTACTGGGGATTGAGCCTACAACCCAGGCATGTGCCCTGTCCAGGAATCGAACCCTGACCTCCTGGTTCATAGGTTGATGCTCAACCACTGAGCCACACCAGCTGGGCCAGTTTCCTTTATTAAGGTTATTTTTTAAATCTTTATTGTTGAGAGTATTACAGTTGTTCTCCTTTTTTCCCCCCATTTCCTCCCTCCACCCAGTTCCTGCCCCACCCCAAGCCTTCACCATCCTATTGTCTATGTCTATAAGTAATACATATCTATAATAGTAGAAGTATAATATGCTAATTAGATCAAACATCCTTCTGGACATCCTTCTGGACAACCTTTCGGACCAAGCCGCAGTGGGGGCTGAGGCAGAGGCAGGCGGCCACCACGGCAGGCGGGGGCCAAGCCCCTTGCACAAATTTCGTGCACCGGGCCTCTAGTATACATATAAGTTCTTTGGTTAATCTCTCCCCCCTCATCCTCCTTTACCTCTGAGATTTGTCAATCTGTTCCATGTTTCCATGCCTCTGGTTCTATTTTATTCATCAGTTTATTTTGTTCATTAGATTCTACATATAAGCGAGATCATATGATATTTGTCTTTTTCTGACTGGCTTATTTCACTTAACATAATAATCTCCAGATCCCTCCATGCTGTCTCAAAGGGAAATAAGTTCTTTTTATAGCTGCATAGTATTCCATTGTATAAATGTACCACAACTATTTTATCCATTCATCTACTGAGGGACACTTGGGCTGTTTCCAGATCTGAACTATTATAAATAATGCTGCTATGAACATAGGGATGCATATATTTTTCTGACTGGTATTTCTGACAGGTTTCTTAGGATATATTCCTAGAAGTGAGATCACAGGGTCAAATGGGAGTTCCATTTTTAATTTTTTGAAGAAACTTCACACTGTTTTCCACAGTGGCTGCAATATGTTTCTTTTTCTATCCCTTCCTCTCTCTCCAAAAAGTTAATAAAAAAACATCCTCAGGTGAGGATTTTAAAAAATAAATAAATAACATAAATAAATAAAAATGGGCAAAGAACCTGAATAGACATTTTTCCAAAGATGCATACAAATGGCCAAGAGGTACATAAAAAGGTGCTCAACATCGTTTAATCATCGCAGAAATGAAAATTAAAACTGCAATGAGATACCACTTAATACTTGTTAAAATGTCCGTTACCCAAAAGGAAAGAGAAATACTGATGAGGATGCCAAGAAAAGAGAACCCTTTGTGCACTGCTGGTGGGAATGTAAACTGGTGCAGTTACTGTAGAAAACAGTATAGAGATTCCTCAAGAAATTAAAAATAGGACTATCATATGATCCAGCAATCTCACTTCTGGATATATAGCCAAAGAAAATGAAATCATTAATCAGTATTCCCACATTTGCTATTGTATTACTCACAATAGCCAGGGTATGCAAACTACCTAAGTGTCCATCTATGGACGAATGAATCAAAAATGTGATATATATATACTAATATATACATACATATATATATAGTTGAAATACAAATACATAATACAATAATCTATAATAATAAACACGTAATAAGCTAATTAGACCAGATATCCTTCTGGACAACCTTCTGGATGAAGCCGGGGCTGTGAGAGAAGCCCGGGTCCCGGATGCTGGAGGGAAGCCGGTGCCAGCAGCCGGGGGAAGGAAGGCCTACTCTCGCACGAATTTCGTGCATCGGGCCTCTAGTTAACTAATAAATAATAAATAATTAACTGTTTTGTGTACTGATAACTATAAACTGACTTTTGCCCACCCTGTGTGTGTATGTGTGTATGCGTGTGTGTATCCCAATGTCCCAATGGAATAATATTCAGCCTTATAAAAGAAGGCAATTTTGACATTTGTGACAATATAGATGAAACGAGGGGACATTATGCTAAGTGACATAAGCCAGACAGAGAAAGACAAACACTGCATGGTATCTTTTATATGTGTACTCTAACAACAACAACAAACTTGATCTCAGAGAAAAGGAGAGAAGAATGGTGGTTGTCAGTAGCATGGAGGATGGGGGAAGAGGGAAAGGGTGGTGAAAGGGTATGAATTTTTAGTTATAAGATGAATAAGGTCTGAGGCTATAATGTACAACATGGTAACTGTATATAATAATACTGTATTGTATAATTGAAATTTTCTAAAAGAACAGAACTTAAGCGTTCTCATCAAAAGAAATCAAAAGGTAAATATGTGAGATGATGGATGTGTTAATTCACTCGAAGGTGAGAATCCTTTCATAATGTATGTGCTCATCAAATCATTACATGCACACTTTAAATGTATTACAATTTTATTTGTTTATTATACCGCAATAAAGCTGAAAAAATTTAATGCATTTAAGAAAAAAGTGGCTTAGTGACAAAAAAAAAATCGAAGGAAAACCTAACTAAGGATACAGCTGCATTCAGTCCTGGCCCAGAAGCTCAGCCAACATGAAAGGAGAACCATGTTGAAAGAACCATAGGAAAATGCAGCTCAGCCCTGATCGCTTCTAAACTTAGGGCACAATGTGGCCTGAAGCCATATAACCACTCTCCTGTCCATCTCTGTGCACCAATACATTTCTCTTTTGTTCTGCTTAAACCAGTGTAGGAAGTAGGTAGGAGGGAAAGGGGTTAGGAGGGAAACATTGAAAAAATGTTCACTGACCTTCTTAGGCATCACTTTTCCATGTGGAACACAAAGTAGAGTAATTTTGACAAATAGAAATATGCTTGACTCTAATATTTTAAAAATTAACGAGATTAAAAAGGAAGGTTAATGAATCAGAAAAGCCTTTGACAATCAATGGTGGTGAGCTCAGAGGACCCTCATGGGATACTCCCAGTGTGTCTTTCTAGGTACAAAACTGGTCCACATGGGCAGGAGAGTCTGCATGTGTATCTACTTGTATATGACTATATAGTGGGTTGGTTTTTTTTTATTTTCAGTCGTTTTGCAAGATCACTTTTCTGTCACTACTGCTGAGTTTACATCCTGAATGTTTCTTTCTCCCGCTGGGACAACAAGCAAACCCCCAGGAGAAGATGCCTGAGAAGGGCTAGGAGAGCGGGCAGCAGGAGTGGGGGATGATTTGCTTAGTAAGGGTAATTATGCCACTCGGCGGCAAAGTCCCCATTTAAAGAAAGAAAAAAGATCATACTGTTTGTAGGCATAAAAGAAAACTGCAAACAGAAACACATCTCCAACCTGCTCGAGCCGCTGCCATTTTCTTGTTTCGCAGTTTGTTCTCCAGAGCTTGCTACACAAAGGAAATGGTGGAAGAAAAACATGAAATTTGCGGGTGTTTTCCACTACTTCCGTAAAGGCAAAGGCGATGATTCTGTGAAATACATTGTAACCTACCTGTTTCATCTTCTTTTGTAGATCCAGGTTGGCTTGCTTCTGGCCCTTTGCGGTAGCATTCAGATAATAGATGGTCAAACTATATTTTTAAAAAAGATAACATGTATGGCATTTTTTTCCGTTTCTCAATATTCCTCTTAAATTTACAGTCAGTCATAGAATGTTGGCACTGGAGTAGACTTTAAGGTATTTTCTACTCTAAACCTCTTATTTTGTAGATAAAAGACTGGGTGAGCCCTAGCCCCTTTGGCTGAGTGGATAGAGTGTCAGCCTTGGGACTGAAGGGTCATGGGTTCAATTCCAGTCAAGAGCATGTATCTTGGTGTCATCAATGTTTCTCTCTCTCTGTATCTCTCCCTCCCTTCCACTCTCTAAATATCAATGGAAAAATATCTTCGGGCAAGGATTAACAACAACAACAACAACAAAGACTGGGTGAGGTACAGAGAGGTTAAAGAAATGCACTCAGTTACATGGGGACTGGGAAGGAGTGCACCTGGGAAGTTGACCCTCAAGTCCTGTTCTCCACAGCCAGGGGCTCTGCTCACTGTGTCTCACTACCTAATTTTAGCCTCTTTTTGGAAATGTATTAACATCAGTTTAAATTATAATTGAAAGTAACATTTTAAATGGACGTCAACGGCCTCCAAGACAATGGACTATCTACTGATGCTTAGGGAATGTGTCAAATAAAAAGGAAACTGACTTTTTGCCTTAAATGCCTTCCTTTGGCTTTTATAACTAAGAATATAATCCTCATAGGCATAGTTAACTAACATGATTTTTTTTCCATAGAATGTATTGTTTGCATTTCTCCCTCCTTCGAAAAGAAGATGCTTTATAAAGGAATATTCTTGCCTTTAAAGTGACATTTATGTTTCTAGAAAGAGCAAATTCCAGCCAAACATTGCAGCAAAAATCAATATGCTCATCTTTACTTAAAGCAAAACAAATAAATAAAAAGAAAGAAACAATGCAATAAAAACAAGTAACTGGCATTTCTCTTTGTTGCAAATAACTGGATACTGAACACATTTCCTCTGCTCACCAATGTGCCAGATTATACCCTTTGTGAGCCATCTGGTGCTGGCAACACAATTAATGATATGGTTTAGCTGAGTTTGTTTACCTCTTATGTGAGTGGCAGGAGTTTGAATGAAATTACATACATGAAAGCATTAGGTACAGTGTCTGGCATAAAGTAGGTGCTCAACAAGTGTGTGTGTGTGTCGGGGGGTGGGGGGGGGTGCGTGAGTATGTGTGTTGTCTATAATAGTAAAAGCGTAATATGCAAATAGAATGAATGGCCAATAGTGGAACAACCATCCAGACGCCCTTCTGGACGACCTTCTGGATGACCTTCTGGATGAAGCCGAAGCTTCGAGGGCCAAGGTAGCCGGGGCTGCAAAGGCCTACTCTTGCATGAATTTTGTGCATTGGGCCTCTAGTAGTAGTATAAAGCTTTTCTTAGAATAGCACCCAGAGTAGGAGGGGAAACTCAGAGACTTCACAAGGCATTTGCAGTTCTGGATTTCTCTGTTTACTCTCCACTTTTTTCCCCATCTTGTGATGTACCTTAAATGTGTATTCTTTATAAATCCTTTTCTAGTCTCCAAAGGAATAAAATTTCCTGCAGAGAACTAATCTAAACTCTACTCAGTTACCCAAAACCACCTAAGATGATTTAATATGACCCACTGGGGAAATTCAAAATGCTTGTAACATTCTCTAATTAAAGGTAATAAAAAGCCAAGCCAATTGTTTGTACCCCATAAAGTGGAACAAGAGACCTCAGGATTTGAAAAATAAAATCACCAACAAAACTGAAATTTGGCTTTTAAATGAGAACCTGAGAACTGAAATTAACCTTGCAGTCTCTCTGTTTGACCTTCTTCTATCCTGCCTGCTTTCCTCTAGACCAGCGGTTCTCAACCTGTGGGTCGCGACCCCTTTGGGGGTCGAATGACCCTTTCACAGGGGTCGCCTAAGACCATTGGAAAACACATATATAATTACATATTGTTTTTGTGATTAATCACTATGCTTTAATTATGTTCAATTTGTAACAATGAAATTGGGGGTCACCACAACATGAGGAACTGTATTAAAGGGTCATGGCATTAGGAAGGTTGAGAACCACTGCTCTAGACCTAGTCACACTAAAATAGGTGGGCAAATGGTGGCCTCCAGGGCAAATCTGATTCTTGGCCTGTGTCATATGGCCCATGAGCTAAGAATGGTTTTTGTAAGAATTTATATAATATCCTCAATTTTACTTCTTGGTCCACAAAGCCTAAAATATCTACTCTCCAGCCCTTTAGGGACAAATCTGCTCACCCTGGGAATAGAGTATCCCTGACAAGTGGCTTCCAGTCCTCCTGAACATGCCCATTCATCCTAAACTCAGTGCTTGGTACTTATGAGTGGGGGGAATAAGAGGTGGGAAATAGACATGGGTTTGAATCCACTTATTAGCCATTAGATTTGGGGGAGATCTTCATGTGCTATTGATAATACGATCCGTGATCGATAATAATTCTTGTACAAATTAAATGAGTTAATATGTGGGTAAGCACCTGTAGCAAAGGCCGTTTTAGCTCCTCTTCCACACCCCAAGACAGTTTATTAAAGACTTAGTTAGTGGCACTGAAACAATATTGCTCCTTTGCTTAAAAATAAATCCATCAACTAGTTAAGAATATAGTCATAAATCTGACATTGTGTGTGTGTGTGTGTGTGTGTGTGTGTGGTTAAATGAAATCTCATTTATACCATCAAAGGGCTTTGACTTTTAAAAGCTGCAGGATACATAACATGTTCTCAGAAGCCGCTCTGTTGTGAAAACATGGAGCAGGAAAACTCGCTTCAAGGCCATCTGGGGACACACGCTGCCTCCAGCTTGTCATTTTCCAACACATCTGCCCCAGAGGTTTACTATCAGGTCCTAAACGCCACCCCATGACCCAGGTTCTAGTGTATAATAGGAATCTGTCTGATAAGAATAAAAAAATATCTAAGCTATAGTATCCCCTTCCTTTCTTAAAAATTAGAATGGGATTTTGCAGAAAAGTTTCAGGTATCCAATTGAAATGAAACAAGTTGAGCCCAATTTCGTTTAACTGAAATATTAGTCTCTAAAAAAATAGTCATCTCTTTTCCTGTTTAGTTATCCCCACAGGCTAGCACCTCTCACTCAAAGAAGGCGTCATGGTGTGAAGGGGTGAATGTTGGATTTACGGTCCAAGTCCTACGATTAGTATTTTGCTCTGGTCTCATCTAGGGAAAATCACTTCCCCCTCTAAGTCAGTTTCTTAATTTATACAATTGAAGAACATAGCACCTGCCTTCGCTGATGTGGCCCATGACCATGACCATCACTAAGACGATGGGAACAAGGTGCGTCAGACCCAGCTCATTTACCTCAAACCATTGGGACGTGTCTCACTAAGATTTCCTACTTTTCCTTTTATTGAAACAAATCTAACCCGTATGTCAGTTTTGTTTCCAGTGTCCCTGAGGATGATTTCATACGTGCCCTCCTTGACTGAGAGCAGTGGCAGTTCCAAACGTTCTATTAGGAAGGTCTTGGGGAATAACGGTAGCTCTTCCATAGCAAGCATATATTTTTACTTAGAATCTAAGTTTATCTGTGGTGGCCAAGAGTCAGAAGCCAGTGAAAGGAATATGGAAACAAAATATCCCTCTCAAGTTCTCTTCTAAGTATCACCTCTGACTTTAAAGGGACCGACTGGGTGACCTACCCAAGACCCTCTGGTCCTCTGGTTCTATTACTATGGACACACAGTTACTGATGGCTTCCTAGGTACCAGGACACGGTGATTTTTTAAGACCCCATAAGCCCTGATCCCTGAAATATATTCCCAAGGGGAATATTAGCTTAGAGACTCATCACTTCTGTGTGTTCACAGCCATCTGCTTTATGGAACAAGGGTGGGGGGAGGGAAGCTCAATGTGCTGATTAGATCTAGCATTTAGCCTTTATGTTTCCCTTGCTTTTAGCTGTTTATCGATAATTATTTTGGTTACTTGGGAACAAATCTTATAATCCTAGGCAGGCAAAGGCAGATGCAGATGGCTGTGTATTATGTCCAAGAGGATCTGAATATGGCTCATAAACGTTAGCCTCTCACGACCATGTGAATCAGCACTGAATCTGGTTAGGCTGTAGCACAACCCTTGGAGAGAGGGAGAGAGCAGAGAAAGCTGAAACTGAAAGGAAGCCAGGAAGCACATGACAAAGGCTCTTTCCATGAGGAGAGGGAGCACTTACACCATAACCAAAACCACAGCAATGACCAGTCCCGGGTTAGAAAGCTGTCGCAAGATCTTCGCCATCCAGCTCGGGAAATCATGCTCCAGTGTTTCGCCGATGACTTCGAACATCCTATTTTTGCCACTGGAGAAAAAAAAAGGAGATAAGTTTATTTAAAACATATGGGAACCATGGTTACAGAAAAAAAGAAGAAAACTAGAAATCTTTCGCAAACACGGCCTACATACTCTTTAAGGTTAGGAATCTGATGTTTTGCTATAACTCCTGATACTTTGACCTCATATTGTCAACATATGGAGAAGATGTGATCAATTTGATCCCAACATAAACACATAATCAAAGCCTGTAGGAAATTCACCACAGAATCAGGAGACAAATTTTAAAAGCTGTATGTCTAAGATTTTGATTGAAATGTGTTTTATAAATAGCTTATCAGTCTACCCCCTCAGCCAGCTTTCCTTGTAAAAGAACACTCTCTTTGGGCTGAATAAACAGTGCACTCAGTTTTTTAATTTGCTGTGGAGATGAGCATAAGGAATAGCTTAATGGAATCAAATCTAAAAATAACCCAATACATCTTTCCATGCAATAGCTTCTATCTCATTTTCCACCAAACCTCCTTCATGAGAGCTATTAATAGGTAACCACACTGAGTGATGAGTCCTTTCTCTCTCTGTATTTCTTCTGGACAGGTCTTAAAAAGTACCAACCCAGTTCCACTGCCAAGCACATAAAATGGGAAGAGAAGGAAAAATGAGCTTTAAAAGCAAAGGTCCTAAATGGGCTGGTTCTCAACCCATTAAAATGAGACCAAAACCCTATAAACCAGAAAAAATGAGAACAGATGTCTGTCTTAACTTAGTACGTAATATTAAAATTATAAAGTAATATCCATCCTGCTAACTTATTTTTGGTTATGCATATTGATTTTACTATGAAAAGATGTAATTTTCAGAAAAGATCCTAGGTGTTTTTAGCACCGTGTTTTATGTATCCTCAGAATAATGGTTGGTATAACACAATATAATATTTTGGCTTCACTATTTTTTTATCTTTAAACATTCTCAATTACTAAAAGAACATGACTCACAAGGTGCAGATCAATTTCTTTCTCCTGATCTAATAATATTTTCCAACAGCCTGAGAATGACTCCAATTATGTTCTCAGGTTTGGCTGGACTACTGAGGTATAAATTTTGCTTCACAAATTATAGAGCTCCACACTAACTACAAAAGCCTAAGGTACATAAAGGAGAATGAAGCTTATAGACAAGTTAAGATGATAACAACTTATTCCACTAAAGTTTATTATCTTCAAATATCTGTATCCCAGCCATAGAGAATACAGCCGCTGTAAAAAGGTAAGCAAGGGGGAGAGAAGATAAGACAATCTACTCTCCCTTCTCCAGCTTGTCTGGCTGTGCTAATGAATGTGGTTAGAATGGAAAGCAGGGATTGGAATCATACAAAATATTCCATACCTACAAAGGTCTGCTTTGCATCCTAGTGTGTCCCAAGTGCAAAGTTATTGGCAACTCTGGGGATTCACGGATAACTTTTCTAGGTCAGGTCTCTTACTAAGAATAGAGATCTATTAATTTTATACCAACTAGAGAAGCATATATAAATTCTTGGCAATCCTTTTTTCTGACAGGTAAGCCAACATATGTCACTTCACAATATTCCCAGAAATCCTTTCCAGTCTGCTGTGACCATAAAGTCAAGTGAAATGCTAGCGCACTTACCCTATAGTTTTCCCATGAACATAGCTCCATCTGCCCTACATCGGTACAGTCTAAGAGCACACCTGTCTTTCCAGCCAGACTGAAAGCTCTGCAGAATGAAAATCTATGCCCACGTTAATCCTACTTCTGGCTTCGTGTTTAGTGCACAATTCATTAATTCAAGCTATTAGCTAACACTCTACTGTGTTATGGACTCAGAAAGATGAAAACATTCCCCCTTCTGGGAGTCAGCTACACTATTAAGAAAAAGAGGCACACAGAATAGTAGGATTGCAAATGGGTGATGTAATAGTAGTGTCACAATACAATATAAACCTAAACATATTGTATGATCTCACTTATTTTTTAAAATCTGCATTAAAAGAAAAACAGAATACAAAATACCAAAGTTGGTATGTCAGGACTTTGTGGGTTATGGATAGTTTTGTATTTTGGGTTGGGTTTTTTTTTTCATGTGAAAATGTTTCTACAATTTCCAGGTTTTTTAGTACAAACACATATCACCTTTGCAGTAAGATGAAAATATATAAATACATAATTGCCATAATGTTTGCAGGGAGGGATATGAGAACTTAGAGAAGTAGAAATTTTTCAAGATTATTAATGAGGGGGCTGGAGGAGAAATATCAAGTGTCAGGAAATATGGTGGAGCAATTAGAAGGTTCTTCATCCGAACACCAAAGAAATAGTTTTTAAATTATTGAACTGTTTAAGGTAAATCCACTTAATAGTCTATTGGAATGATTTTTCTGGGAAATTCACCCTCCCTATCCAGGTCTTGTGAAACCAAAACAAGCTAAACTATCTCATCAAATGGCTTTGCAGAATGGATCTTCTCAGGTATTGTAGCCACCATACCTGAAAATATACCTGCATCTAGGAGCAACTAGATGGTGTCTCCATTAGCTTACTTCAAATGCATATTTGCCAACTGGCTGCCAGCCCAGGAACCAGGAAGCGTCAGACACCCTTTACTCAACAGGCTGGGCAAATCGCCTCAAACTCAGGGTCCCTAAGGATGGTAAGTCATGAGGCTCCTTCATTTTCACCTAATTTCTAAGGCTGAACAACCCTTTTAAACTTTTAAGTCCGAACAAATGTTTCAAAGTATATATTCTTTTTCCCCCAAGTGAGAAAACTGGCAGGAAAAATAGACTCTCTAAATAGGATAGAGATAACCCCTTCCCAATACTCTGTTGAAAATATTTAAATTTTCTTGATCTCAAAGTAGTGATATATATTTAGTAATTTTGCCCAAGTTTTCCAATTAGAAAATACTTGTTCAAAATCATATATTATGCCTTAAACACAGACTGATTTTTTTTTCATTACAACCATAGTAACTCATGATATAAAGAGAGGCAGAGGAGTTAGAGCTCAAAAATATAAAACTGTCCAGTCACTCTAGGTGTCTAGTGCAATGATATTTTTAATATGAATGTGCCTGGATAACCACCACCCGGCTATGTGTTGACAGTGTGGGGTTTCCCTTATAGACAGTTAAGTTCCTTTGATATGCTTTCCTAAGGATCAATGTCCAATTAAAAAGTTAAAAGCACACCTAAAACTTATCCTGAATATTTAGTTGTCGGGTAATTTGCAGTTAACAAATATTTGTATGGCTTACCTCTTGAACTTTGTACTCTGAATTTTATCCAGGATTTATTGAGACCAATCTCTCCTTCAAGACTGCAATTTCATATTTAGTCTCCAGATGTCACTCTCTGCATTATTTATTTCAGCCCACTGGGGGGGGGGAGGGGGGGGGAGTGACCAGGACTTGTCAACATCAGCTTCCTGAATTGACAGACCTCCAGCTGTTTTTGCCCAATCCACTGGCTTAACATTTTCTTTCTTTCTTTTCCAGTAAAGCAATAATAACTCAAACTATTATTAGAGTGAAATGCCTCCTTTATACTTAAGCAGATGGGCAACAAAGCCTTTGACTTTAATTTAGTAACTTGGGTTTGACGGCATGACAGGGAAATTATATGTGGCCATTATGGCATCACGGTTGACATTCACATGGCTTTTCACATTCATATTTTCTTCACAGAAAAGGAGGAACAGCTCAAATGTATGCTGCCCGGTGACTCAACATGCAGATCTCTGGGGGGGATTTGTGGGAGATGTATCCCTTTATGGGATGAAGTCCAATTTTCCAGATCCTGGGAACTTTGCTGTCTTGATAAGTGTTTAGAGAGCAAAGGATGTTAGAAAACTGTAGAAGGTACATTTCCAAATTGGATGAAAAAGCCTTCTTGACTCTTTATTACTACTCAAGTGATTTATCCTTGTTATTTAGGGAGAATGTATGTGAGCAACAGCTTTAATATTTTACTGGCATGTAGCATGGATTATAAATTGTAAGACCTTCTTTATGTTATTATCTGACTAGAGGCCCGGTGCACGAAATTCGTGCACTGGGGGTGGGGATCCCTCAGCCCAGCCTGCGCCCTCTTGCAGTCTGGGACCCCTCGCTTTTTACTGCCCTCCTGCAGCGGTGGCAGGAAAGGCTCCTGCCACCGCCGCTGCACTCACCAGCCATGAGCCTGGCTTCTGGCTGAGCGATGCTCCCCCTGTGGGAGTGCACTGGCACCAGGGGGCAGCTCCTGTGTTGAGCACCTGCCCCCTGGTGGTCAGTGCACATCATAGCAATCTATTGTTCCATTGTTCCACCATTCAGTCGATTTGCATATTACACTTTTATTATATAGGATAATGATTCCATCTCATAGGTGGCATGTGCGTAGTCTGCTATATTTATTTATGTTATATTTTATTTTTTCAATGTGGTGGTTGACATGAGACATAGCAATAGCTTCAATTGTCTGGATGTGAAGGCACAGCATCAGGAAAACCTTCACCTATAGACTAGCTCTTTGCTATCTCCTTGTATGGAAATAGCTCAGATTGATTGTCCCTATTTTACCCAGGCAGAGCCTGGAGCAGTTAAATCATTTTCCCTTCTATGATTCCCACATGAGAAAATAGATGGACCTTGCCTAAGAATCTCCATGACACAGAATGAGCCAGAATACCCAAAGGATCTCATTGCCACATACCAAAATGCCATCATTTGAAAACAACTAAAATAACTCGTACAATGATTGACCGTTCCTATCCCCAAGCCTGAAAGAAAACTATGCCCAAATGGAATTTCAAAGACAAGCACCTGAAGGGGCCACAGTCAAAAGATGGCGGGAGGGAGACGATCATGTAGAGGACAGGCATGGTGGACAGGAAGAGGATGAGCAAGAGCATGCCCAGGTAGAAATTATTCGATCTGGAAGCTTTGAAGACTCTGGCCTCAGGGACGTTGCAACACATCACGGCCCAGCCCTGGAAGTACATGGATGTGTGGAGCCGAAGGATATTGATGCCTGGGAGGCTGGGAGCAAAGAAAGAGCCCATCCTAGAAAGGAAAACAGAACTTGGGTCAATTCAGGTCTTCCCTCCGGAACAAGGCCACACAGCACCTGTTTGTGTCACATCATGCTTACTTGCCAAAGGCAGAAAATGCCACTCTCAACCACACAAGCCCTTTGTATAAATAATGCATTTCCATCTTTTACACACATTTTACCATCTCCCCCATTATTATAGGTATTGTATACATACTTCCTTCATAGAAACTATATAGATTACTAATCATATCTACTATTAGTAAGTTTAAATTACAACAGAGTAAGTATATATATGTATGACATTAGTTTTCTTTCTGTCTCCTACTTCTAAAAAAAACTTCATTTCCGTTAATATGCATATAATTAATTGACATAGCCAAAAAATGAACTTTTTAATAACTGACTCTTAAAAAAGCACTCATTCAACTCAAATAAACTGCACATTTGGATTAAGTATTTTTGTCGTGGCTAATAAATTCTCATTTAATGAAAGAGAAATTATTAAATCATGTAGGCAAGGAAATACTAGTGCTGGGAACCTTCTGATGTTAGCCATGGATGAGAAGATGTAGGTTATTTGACTGTGTACACAAAATATAAGCATATCACATGGCCTCTTTGCAAATCAGGTGTGCCTTTCAGTGGTGCTCCATTGTGCTGATCCCCCAGCTTTTCTGGAACCAAGAATGGGATAAAAAGTGCTTGAGGGTGTGTGGGGGGTTATGTGTGTGTGTGCGTACATCTCCACTGAATAGTTTTATTTGAGCTGATGGGAACGATGTATTTGTGTCTAATATGCTATGTTTTGTTGATATCCCATAGCAAAGCTTTATGTGTTTTTGAGATGAAATTCAACACATCTCAGTTTACTTTATCTGTCTACATTTTTACATTAGCTTGTCCTGGAAATCACTGCTTTGTATATAAGATATTTTAGAAGTATTTTAAACAAAAACTAATTAGGAAACTTCTCTAAGGTCATTCTTACTTTATGATATCATTGGTTATTGCAACGAAATAAATTTTAATCTTATTTGATGAGAAAATTCATTAGCACCATAAAACCATGTTAATAGAAATTAGCTCAAAACCAAAAAGAGGTTTTAGATGTTACTTATTTTAGAAGTTTAAACAGAGTCCTATTTTTAAAACTGTCCAAACTATAATAAAAACCTGAACATTTCAGGTTAGGATTATCATTTTAATCCATTCAATGTAAATTTGGTATATTATTTGGGGATTGGAACTGAGTTAGATGAAGAAATTAGTTTCTGCTATAACTGAACTTATGAAACCCAACATTAAACAATTTCATTGAAAAGTGGAATCTTGACACAATTCATATTGTCTTGCTAGGATTCCACACAACAGATCTGAATGATATTTTAACATCCTGCATTGAATTGACAAGAGACTTTGTAGGAAGTTAAACTAATTTTTTTAAATGGTACAGACTTTGGGTGATAATGACACGTCCAGGTAGGTTCATCAGTTGTAACAAATGTACCACTCAGGTGTGGATTCGATAATGGGGGAGGCTGTGCATGTGTAAGGGCAAGGGGGATATAAGGACTTTGCACTTTCTATTCACTTTTGCTGTGAATCTAAAATGTCTCTAAAGTATAAACTCCATTAATTTTTTAAAAAAGAGAAAATAAACTTTGGAAAAGCATAGTGTACCTTGGTTACAGATTAGCAAGAAAGAACCTAGAACCACAAAAGCATGAACAAGTGAATGAGTACAGGTCTTCCAAAGCACTAGATAATATTCCCAAATGCTAATATTCATAATGTCATGTGGTTTTGGATGATGCTCTAGCCCAGAGATTTTCAACCAGTGTCCTGCAAGAGTTTTTAAAACATGCAATACCTGACTAGTTAGTTAAGGCCTCTGACCTCTTTTCCCTTAGATTGTCAAATAAAAAAAAAATATGACAACAGCCAACACAACAATAGCCATCTAGTGTGAATTGATCAAAATATACCATTTGTTGTTGTTAGATTGGCAATATATATATATATATGACATGTATTTTGGTGTGCTGCAGAATTTTAGTAATATTTATGTGTGCCATGAGATGAAAAAGGTTGAAAATCACTAATCTAACCCTTCTAAAAGTCAGGGTTGGCTATGTGATTTTTTTCTGGTTAATAAAATAGGAATAAAACAGATGTGTCTCACCAGTCAGAGAAAGATAAATAGCACATGATGTCACTCATTTGTGGAATATAATGAACATAAACTGATGAACAAAAACAGATCCAGACACAGAGAAGCATCAATCAGACCATCAAACCTCTCAGGAAAGGTAGGGGAGGATGGGGGTAGGGAGAGAGATCAACCAAAGGACTTGTATGCATGCATATAAGCCCAACCAATGGACACAGACAGCAGGGGCATGAGGGCATGAGTGGGGGGCAGGGGGCAATGGGTGGGATAAGAAAAAAAGAGAAGGAAAAAAAAAGAGGTGTCTCACTGCTGGGTGAAAACACTAACAGCCCTGTGTGTTTTTCGCTCTCTTCACTACTCTGACCAGCCATTCCAGGTGGGTCCTCATGATGCCTGCGTAGGACTCCAAGAAAGGGGAAGTTACAGAGTGGAACCCTTGGTCAGCCCACATCAGACTTATAGAGTCTAATTTTTTGGGTCTATGTTTCATTGCTGATCAACCTAGTCTCTCCTTAGGTACAATTTTGTATGTAATTCAAGAACAAGACTTGTCTAAAGTCACATATATTTGCATATATACATGCATCATTTTTTTAATTTGAATTCTTTATTGTTTAAAAGTATTACATAAGTCTCCTTTTTCCCCCATCGACCTCTCCCTGGCTGCTCCCACCCCCCCAGCACATGCCCTCACCTCTCTACTGTCTGTGTCCATTGGTTATGCTCATAAGCATGCATACAAGTCCTTTGGTTGATCTCTTACTCCCCCCCCCCACATGCATCATTTGTCTCTATGCATATATATGTACACACTTATTATATGAATGTACATCTATAGACAAATAAATTTAAAATTTTCCAAATGAATATCACATAGGCCTTTTGAACAAATGACACAGAGCCATAACCTAGAAAAACAGGTCCTGGCACACTGATATCAGAACCTTAATGCTCACTCTGTCATTGTTCATGACTCACCACTAATCAGCTTGGCTCACTAAGTCCCTTACCCAGACTTGATCCCATCATCTGTCAAGCAAAGATCACAGTAATACCTTAGCCTAATAAAATGCTTTTTTTCCAAGAAGATCAAAGTAGATGAAAGCTTCTTTTATTTAGCTCTTCTTATTACTCCAGTGACATGGTATATGTCAGGCAAATTATTCACGTGTGATCAACTGAGAAAATGAGGTAGTGAAAGATGAAAGATTGGCAGGAGGGTATACCATAAGGCAATGTTGGAGCAATGTCCAAACCTATCTTCTCTCTCACTGTGTGTTCTTTGCTACCTCTATATCCTGCTACAATACAGATAACTTGTGCTTTTGTCACTTAAAAAAATGTGATTACAAAAGCCTATGCTGCCTATTTCAAAAATAATGAGGAATCTCAGACATAAAGGGGGTGGTGTGGGAGGAGATTAACCAAAGAACTTATATGCATATTTGCATAACCCATGGACACAGACAATAGTGCTATGAATATCTGGGGGGTGAGGCGGGAAGGGGGAAGTCAGTGAGGGGAATAAAGGGGACATCTGTAATACTTTCAATAATAAAGATAAATTTACAAAATAAATGTGTAATATAAAGATTTACTGATCATTTCAGTCAATTCATAACAAACGGACTTTTATCTATAAATGGTTGACTTTAATAACATCAGAGTAAGTAATGTCCACTATTTAGAAACTCCTAAAGCGCCTGACATATACCATGTCACAAACGAAAGAAATTAGATTCAAAATCCCCATGCTCTCTTGATTGTTTCTGTAACAAGTGGTCAAACCCAGTTATCAGATCCTAATGCCTCATGAAATAGATTACCATGAGTGAGTGCCCTTTTGCAAGAGAGCCTGTGAAAGGTAGGCTGCACACTCCACACACCTCCCTCACCAACTTCCTGGGAGTTAGAAAAAGAGAATTTGTACAAAGGGTTGACCTGAAGGTGAGTAACAGTTCTTTTGCTTCTGGAACTCTGGTGTGTGGCTATCTTTGTCTACTCAAAAAGCACATTCACTTTCTAAAGTCCTCCTCAGACTCATCAGAAGCAAGGCTTGCTCAACAGCTCAAGGATGAATACATAGAAAGCAAAAGTGCAATGATATTGCAGAGATTTTGATAATGGATCTACCCATGAGAGAACAAGGTTTTTTGATATTTCAGAATGTTAATATGAACAATAGCAATATATAGAAACAGTTGTGAAATTGCAAGTGAAAACAATCAGGCAGCCATTACAACAGCTTTTCTAATAATGAAAAGGAATTTCTAGGCAAATGTGTTGTCTAAATTCTGAAAGAATAAGAAAGAGACATGCAGCACATGTGTGTACAAATGGCACCCCCCAGGCCTGAGGGATTTATGGCACTCTGCAAGAGCCAGGGAGTTTTTTTGTTTTGTTTTTTTTAATATATTTTATTGATTTCTTACAGAGAGGAAGGGAGAGAAATAGAGAGTCAGAAACATCAATGAGAGAGAAACATCGACCAGCTGCCTCCTGCACACCCCCTACTGGGGATGTGCCTGCAACCAAGGTACATGCCCTTGACCGGAATCGAACCTGGGACCTTTCAGTCTGCAGGCTGATGCTCTATCCACTGAGCCAAACCAGTCGGGGCAAGAGCCAGGGAGTTTTAAAACTGATATAACACAGTGCTTCCTCATTCCTGCAGTAGCAATGTTGCAGCCCTCAATCAGCCACATTAGGCTTATAGACAACAGAATCCTCTCCAGGAAAGGAGAGATCCAGGACCCACAGAGGCTGTTACCTTGACTCTCTGTTAGTCATACGTTGGACCACCTTGACTTTCCTCTGCGTGGAGAATAAAGGATGCATTTCACTCCTTGGACGCATAAGCCATAACTTGCGAATTTAACCAAAAAGTACATTTAAAATACACCTGATAATAGAGAACATAATCTTTTCTTTGCAGTGATTGATCTAATGAGGCCCAGGAATTTGACAGGCCCCATGGCAGCACGAATGGGTCTTTGGCTATGGTCTTTATATTACTAAAGTAAAACAATTTTAACATTTGCACGAGGTCCAGTCTCACAAAGGTTTAATAATTCAGGCCAGCCATGGTTGAAAGATTTGAGTAACATAAGATGCTTGTGCAAAAACTGAGCTAGTCATTAGTAGTTGTACATAGGACAATGGTGTGATCAGTGGCACAATATTATAGTAGACACGTATCAACGGGATAAAGAAGCTCAATTGTAACTGCTTGTGGGTTGGCGTGCTCTTAGTTGAGTGACAGATTTACAAGACACATGGTCCCCAGATGAATTGGATGCTGTGATTCAATTTTTAAACTAAAAAATGGCTTTGACTATATCAATTCATCTTAACCTGTCAAGGTTTTCCGAGAGAATGCTTTCATTTGATAAAAGATATGACAATCCTTTGTACATCAAAAGGAATAATTCTGATGTGCAAATGGCCCTGTGAAACAAGTTCCAAAATAACGATCATATTTTTAACTTGACCTTCCTAAAACATGTGTTTTTATCTCTATACATTATTGGATTTGGTAAGATACTATTTTTTTTTGTAAGATACTATTTTTAACAGTAGCTATAAGTTGTATTTTAAATGTATTCAATAGTGATGACAAGATAAAATCAGTTTCTCAGAAAGATCTCACAATTTATCCCATTCTTAACATGTAGTAATGTGATCATTAATGTTTCATTGTTAGATCCTAGTGTCACAGGACAGAAAATATAAAACGCTTTCCAATAATCTACCAACTAGAACACAGGTGCCCATCACTTGATGAAGGAGTGCTGGGAAAAACAGGCAGATGCATTTGAAGACCAAAACTAAAGATTTGAAGAAGAAAAAAGTAAACTATTCACAGCCACCCATTCTACAAACGCAGATGTTGACTTAGACACAGATTGTGATCTCCTTTGGCACCGGGCCACAGTGTTTTATGCAATATTGATCTTGGAGGCTTTTCAAAAAGTGCTAGATTACCCAGCAGCTGGCCTACCAGATCATGCCTTGGTTGAAGATCAGAGCAAGGACGTTGCCACTGATGTCAAATTCAGTATATGAAGGCTAGAAGAGACACAGACATTCACTGGATTAGTATCTCATGGGGTGAATATTGAAAGGCAAGTGGTTTATACTTCTACATAGGTATGGCTAAGCTCTCAACTATTTTCTTACAGCAACAATAGCGGGATGATCAATATGACAAATAATTAGCAATAAGTTAAGCAATAAAGCACCCTTTTAACATTGTAAAACTCATTTTAAAATGCTGTCATGCAGTGCTGTGAAAGCGTGGTGAGATAGGCTTTCATACACCACTGGGGAGAGTAAATATTGGAGCAGCCTTTTAGAAAAACAATTTGAGGATACATATTTAAAGCTTTAAACACCTCACTCTTGTTAAGTCTACTTCTCGGAATTTGTCTTAAAGCTATCTTAAGTGTTGAAAAATGTAAACAAGCAGAGATGAAGCCATCTAAATGTCTGATATTGGTTCAGTAACTAAAGTTTATCTATAAGATGACATATATCACAGCTAATTACATCATGTTGGAAGAGTATTTGCATACACAAGAGAAAACTATATTTTAACATTAAATGAAAAATATACAAAATTATACATTCATTATTTTATGAACTCTTTATGAAACTATGTGTAAAGAAAAGACTTGGAAGTATTCAACAAAATTAATAGTTATTTCATGTGGGGATGGGTTATAGCTTTTATTTTCTTCAAGTTTTGTATCTTGTAAAATATTTTTCAATAAAAATATGTGAATTTCTTTTACAATAAAATAATTATAAAGAAACACAACAAAAGTTAAAGAATTTATTGAACTGGATGTCCAGTGTTTGTCTCTGGGATGATACGACCCTGCATAGGGTGGCAGGACCAGGCAGTTCTTTGTGCAGAGGTGCCACTGATAGGAACTGAGGTAGGTATCTTCCTAGGGTGGCCCATCCAAAGGCTTCCTGGTGACATATTAGGCATTCTATAAGGAAAGCTTCTACCAATGGGATTAATGCTAATTAGCAAAGGTAATAAAGTTTGCTTCTATTTAATTTTTAAAAATACATATTTATTGATTTCAGAAAGGGAGAGAGAGATAGAAATATCAATATATGCCCCCACATTGGGTACCAAGCCCACAACCCAGGCATGTGCCCTGACCGTGAATCAAACTGTGACCTCCTGATTCATAGGTTGATGGTCAACCACTGAGCCATGACAGCAGGACTACCTCTATTTAATTTAAAATAGAGAATAGTCAGGAAGGAGACTGAGGAATGGGTTACAAGAGCAAAAGAGAACAGGAAAAATATAGGAAGTGAAAGGGCCAAGAGACCATGAGTGTGGTAGGTCCCTATCACCGCCCCAGATGTTGACATCTGCACATGTAACTTCAGGCCATTTATATCCTTATAATAACTCCCTCCCCAATACACACACACAAACATACACACATGACCTGAAAGTGTCTCTGTTATTCCCAAACCCAAGAACCCAAACATATATTTGTAAGAAGGTAGATTTGCTAAAGAATTCTTGAATTCTTTGCTAAATGCTTTGCTAAAGACTTCTTGAATCTAGGTCAACTTTATCACATTCCCAAAGGCAGTGGTACTCTCCTAGTCAACTGAAAGATACAAGCAATGTGCCTTGTTAATAGATTCAGGGGATAAACAGCAAATGGCATAACAAGAATGATTAAATAACAAGGTAAAATGATACAGAATGAAACAATAGATAGCACTATTATACTAGGCAGAACAAAGATGACCTGGATGATTTCAGCACAAATTCACTCAAGATATTGCAAAATTATATACAGAGTGTTTGTTAATTATCTAGATCTATAACATTTATAAGGTGCTACAAAAGAGACTTTGTTGACAATCTTTGGTATAAAATCAACAATGAAAAAAAAAAACGTGGCCCTCATGGAGAAAAAAAATGCTTCCAATCATGAGAAACATCAATTCTGAGTATTTCTCCTTCCCTAGGAGAACTTTGCTCGGGATCATATATTCTCCTCTCCTGGAGCCCTGAGAGATCACATAACACATTTGACAAACGCTCAGCTGGGTGGCCTATGACATCTGTAGACTTAGTGCAGCTCTGTTCTGTGTCAGTTCCAAAATCAAACCTTCAAAGTTGGCCTCTTAGAATAGTGTCATGATTTAGCCCAATAAACCACAGACAGTGAAAAATGCAACCTTTCAGAACTGCATTCCCTTTAGTCTCACAAGCACTCAAACCGCTTAAAGGTCATTTGAGATAAGATATTTTTACCAGGTGACTAGAAAAACTCAAAGGACACACAGAGTACCTGTATGCAGCAAGGACAGCTGGAGGAATAGAAGCTTTGATGCATAAATTGACAAAGGGTATAGAGCAGTCCTACCAACCCAGGTGGCTTGGTGATACAGATACTTGACAGGCATGCAGACCTGAGAGTAAGACTCTGCCCAACCATTTCCTAGTTGGGTGAACTGAGCTGGTCACTAATCTCTTCTGGCTTCGGTTTCCTCATAGATAAATTTATGAAACAAATTAGATTAGGCACACTATGGTCCATGAGCCATATCTGGAGGATGGGGGAAGAGGCTTAAAATCTGAAGCTCCTAATCATGGCTTGGACTTTCCGATGACCAGACCACATCCTGAAGCTTTCCAAGTCCACCAAGACTTACTTCATGAGAACAAAAAATGTTCCTATCACCCAAGAAATTTCAAGGAATTTAGGAGCTCTGTGTCAGGTACCAGAGTCAAAGATATTCCTAGCACTTTTATTGTTTATGAAATTACAAATATATTAGGAGTTATGTGCCAGGAGCTTGGAATGAAGACCAAAATAAGCATTTCTCATTATATCACACCTGCAGAAGCAAAAACACTACCCAGCCATTTCTAGAGAAAGTTTGCTAACTTCTAAACTAAATAATTTCTAAAATCCCTATCTAATTTAAAATATGTAGTCGGTTGAACATTAGACCCAATTATTAAAGAATTGCTTTTCTGTAAATAGCTTAGAAATTAATTTCATTCTGTAGACATTAAGCTCAGAAACTTCCACTCTAAAGATAAAACAAATGCGAGAAGGCAACCCTACACGTATAGACACACACACACACACACACACACACACACACACACACATATACACATACATAAAATTTAATGCTCATTCTTTTACAGGTGGATTTTTTAAACATATAAGATTATATTACAGTTTAAATTTTAAATCAATATTTTAATAACGTCAGTGTAAATCAATTTGCAATGTGTTTAATTGCCTCTAAAATCTAAAAAGTTTAAAGGTAAATGAAGCTTGAGGAATAAAAAGGTTTTCTTGAAATCTGAGTTAATGAATGTTTCAAATGGGATACGAATAATAAACTCACTAATAAGATTTTTAAGGGTCAGCAACCAAGGAGCCCATTTGGTTTTGGGCTAAGGTCCATAATAGTCAAGGGATTAACAATTACCTTGTTTTATATTGGGATCTTTGTTTGTGATGGGCTAGTCAGTCATCTACACAGAGGGAAGACGTATGATGCTCATTGGACTAAAGAGCCTGGGAAAACCCACTCTCTCTGCAAGTTTAGCTACCTGGGGCAGATCGATCCACCTCTGAATATTGTGAAGTGTAATTCAGGATCTCAGATAGAATTCTGTTATTGCTATGACCTGCCTGACTTTCTTCTCTCAAATCTCATTTCCCATGGTTGGAACCACTCCTTTTAGAACTGCAGGCTGGCCTGCCTGTGTCTCTAAGGCAATGCTTCTCAAGTGTGGTCCCCAGACCAGCAAGCAGCTTTACCTGGGAGCTTGAGAGTAAATTCTCAGGCCCAACCCAGATCTCCTGAATCAGAAATCCTATCCTGCCTTTACGGGATTCTAATGTACCCTCATAGATGAGAACCACTGACTGAGGACAAATCCTAGCCTCATCTACTAGGACAACTCAACGCCTTGAGGTTAGCACTTCAATCCTAGTTGCCTGTAGACAGATACTGTCCAGTATTCAAGTGGAGCTTCAAATCCAGCCTGTGCTGTCCCTTTTCCCATGTTCTCACCCCTTCATGGGATACCCATGACTTCTTACTGATTCTTTTCATGCCATCTTCCTGGATGGCTAAATAATATCTCTTATCAGCTAGAGAACATCAGTTTATCATCTAATTCTATATCCAAACCTCTTCTGCTAACTTTATTCTACTGCAAGTGACCTGTCTAAGCCTGGGAGTACCTTAAATTGCATATGCCATGAATTAGTCATCATGTGGCAGATTCCCTTAAATGTCTAAGGTTATGAATTACAGTGAAAACCAACATGATGGAAATCTAGTTGATGGCTTTGAAGTTGATCAGACATGGGTTCTAGAGCATACCTATTAGTTCCACCCCTGATCAGCTTAATGTATAATGAAGGTATATTCATATATAGAATATCACACAACTATTTAAAAACTATGTCATAAAAGAAGAGTTAACAGCATAGGAAAATGGTCACTGTTAGGTGAAAAAAGCAGGCAACTAGTCATTAAATATATGTTTTAATAAAAATGTATTTTATACATTTGAATAATATATAAAATACATTTACATATATACATTTTAAATATGTTTATAAAAATCTATAATGAATCTACAGTATTCCTTTATTAACATAAAACTAAATGTTAATACTATGTGATTCAAATAATCCAAATAAGCAATGCCATAGTGGTGAGATTACCTGTGATTTTTATTTTCATATTTAACTCAGAGTGGATTTTACAGATTTTCTGTTCTCTGCCTGCACTGCCCATGTTTTCCAGCTGCTGGACAAGGTATAATGTCCCTCACTGAGAATGCTTCCTTCCATCTCAAGCCTTTGAAATTCTGATCATCCTTTAAGACTTGGCTCAAATGCCTCCTCCTCTGCAATGTCTGCATTTCTATTGACCTCTCCCCTTCCCCTCTGGAAGTCCAACCACAGTAGATTTCTCCCATGGCATTTGCATTTTCTGCTAGGCACTGACAATGGAAGCTTGCAAGATTAAAGAGTAGTAAAGAATGTAAGAAACTGGCGAATGAATAAAACTGAAGAGGGCAGTGGTTATTCAGCTCCAGCCAATTTCTCTGGAGTGGGAATATGAGTCTAAAGTTTCCAGTCCTTCAACTACATTAGCAAAGCAATAAATTCATATTTTTAAAATGTAAATCTTCCAGTTCTAACATGTTAGCTCATTAAAAACAAACAAATCACTCTGTGAACCAAAGGAAAAAACCATCTGTAAGTTGAATCTAGCTTGCAAACCCAAGTGTGCAACCTCTCCTAAGACTTACATCTTTTCTATTTCTGTATCCCTTTATCACCCAGCACCAGAGTTTGCCCATAATGTTTCGTGCCTAGTAGGCGTTCAATTTGTGTAAGCTGTTCACTTGGTGGATCAATGATAATCAAATCCATATCAGAGATCCATCATCCAACTTCAATGCTTGAAAAATTGTTTTAATGTTGAGCTTCTCTCTGAAGCACTCTCCAAAGGTAACATGGAAGAAAATTCTTTCTCTATGACCTAAGACAGAAACTTGTTTTTTTCTGTACTTTGTACTAATTCAAGAGCACTGTCAGCACTCAATGGATAATAAATCAATCATTTAATTACAGCATTTATGCATCCAGGTCATGTTGTATTGACTTCATATTTAAAGCAAAATTTTCTAGCACTTAAGAAGAAAGTGCTAAAAAGCAAGCATAAGCTAAGCAATAGTCTAACAAAAAAAGGGCAATTTTTATGTCTGCATCAGAAGAGCTGAATCAGGCAAGGAAAACAGAAATGAAACCAAGCCAGCTGAATACCTCATAGCAGGGAACGGGAAAGCAATGCAACAGCATCCTGGATCTATAGCATTACCTCACTATCGTTCACCAAAGAGCATTACCTAACTGCTTTTGGCTCGTCTGAGAGCCACTTTCAGTGAGAGTGATAGAGATGACCTAAGAGAAGGTCATGATTTCAAAGTCAGATAGCCAGGCCGAGAAGCTAGCCCGGAGTTCTGAATGTAGGACTTGTCCTGAGACTCGGGGCATGAGACAGAAGGGAGATCCGCAGTAAAGGATATCACTTCACTAGTGAGAAGAGAAACATCATGGGCTCAAAAACATTAAGCCAGAGCTGATTCCATGCCTGGAAGCAAACAGAAATCTGTCAATAGATGCATGGTGTTGCCTTGATGATGTTAGAATGAGGAGGTTCAACACTGAACCAGCAGTCAACACCTAATGCTTGCCATGTGACAGGCATACTAGTAGTTCTAAGCATAGAGGTCAAGGCCTCTGTGTCATAGAGCTTTCATTCTAACAGAGGGAGACACATCATAAGCACTTTTAAAAAGGGAAATGTCACGTGGTTATACGTCACATGAAGAAAATAAAACAGTGTGCTGAGAGTGTCTGGTAGGCTACATTAGAATGGGCGGCCAGAGAAGAGCTTTAAAGAGGTGATATAATCTGAGTCTTTAATGACAAAAAAAAATGAGCCATGCCAAATTCTGGGAATGTGCATCCCTGGAGGGAGGAACAGCTAGTGACAATGAAAGGACCATCTTGTATTGGAGCATAAGAAAGAATCCCAAGTTTGTGGACTTTCCAATGAAAGAGCAAAAGCAGTAAGAGGTGAGCTCAGAGAAAAAGAAAAGAAACAGATCATATAAGGAATTAACAGGACTAAACATGGATTTGGAATTCCTTCTAACTAAGCTACTGGAGGATTTTAAGCAAATGAGTACAACCAACCCCCAGGTCATATTTCCCAAGATGACTGTTTCATTTGCAAAAGAGGGACGGTGGGCCGCTGGAGTGTCTTAGACCACAGAGTAGTGATATGTGCTTGCTGCCGCCTTCGAACTTTGTGTGGTGATCCGGGGTTGAGCGTAGACAGTGAGCTGGTGATGAAGTCAAAGAAACCTGACTTCCATGACAACAGCATGGAAGAAAGTCAGCTTGCTGGAATTCAGCTCCACCACTTGCCAGAGCCCTGTCAGTACCCTGGGCCTTCCTCGAAACCTCCTCAAAAGCCCCCTGCTTGTCTCTGCTGAGCTCTTGTTAGATTGTGAGCTTTATGAAGTAAGCACTATAGTCAATAAATTCTTCTATTTCCCACTGTACTGCACAGGGACTAGCCAGGATCCATGTCTAGGAGTTTATTTAGTAGCATTCCAAGGCATTAATAGAATAAGAGGTTGACACTATCCATCCTGCCCTGTTTCTGGAAATGCCAGCAAGCTTCGTGGGGAGGGAGCTAACTCTGGGTCCAAGACTTACTGAGTTCACCATCCATTGCTTCAGCCATCCTGTGCTAATTGATGAGAATATTGTGAGCCATGATATTCAAGTCTGACCCCCCCCCCGCCCAAATTAAAACCATATTCATTGGACTTCATTTATAGTAGTTCCCTCCTTATCCACAGTTTCGCTTCCCACAGTTTCAGATATCCATGGTCAACTGTTGTTCAAAAATACTAAATGGAAAATTCCAGAAATGAACAATTTGTATGTTTTAAGTCGCCCGCTGTTCTAAGTGGTGCGATGAAACCTTGCATCCCCCTGCTCCAGCCTGCTTGGGATGTGAGTCATCACTTTGTCCAGTGCATCCATATGCAGATGCCCCCTGCCTGTTAGTCACTTGGTAGCCATCTCAGTCAACACATCAATTGTCCTGGCATTGCAGTGCTTGTGTTTAAATAACATTTTTACTTAATAATGGCTCCAAAACACAAGATTAGTGATGCTGGCAAGTAAGATATGCCAAAAGGAAGCCATACCATAAAGTGCTTCCTTTAAGTAAAAAGGCATGTCTATGTAGGGAAGAATAGTGTATATAGGTTCGGTACTATCTGTGGTTTCAGGCATCCACTGGAGGTCTTGGAATGTATTCTCTGCAAATAAGGGGGAACTACTGTATTGACATCTAAAAAGTAGATTCCCCCTGGCTGGTTTGGCTCAGTGGATAGAGCATCCACCTGCGGACTGAAGGATCCCAGGTTCAATTCCAGTGAAGGGCACATGTCCGGGGTTACTGGCTCGATCCCCATAGGGATCGTGTAGGAGGCAGCTGATCAATGATTCTCTCTCATCATTGATATTTCTATTTCTCTCTCCCTTTCTCTTCCTCTCTGAAATCAATAAAAATATATTTAAAAAATAAAATAAATAATAAAAAGTAGATCCCACCCTCTAAATCCTGAGATATCTTCTTCTTGCATAGTGTGTGTACACCATGAGCCACAAAAGAATAATCTGATAAGAGAACATGAGTATCATACTTACATATCCATATTCTAAATCCCAGCACCAGCAGTAATTGCAAAATCTTACAAAACATGCCCGGAGAAAGTCCCCAATAAGGATTGTGACGTAAGTGGTCAAAACATCAGAAACAGTCAGCCGCACAAATTCCTGTGGAGATATTATCTGCATTACAATTTGCATTTTTGTCTTTAAATGGTCCTAGTGTTGACAGCGAATTTGTCATGTTTCTAAACAGTATGAGCATGAAAACTGCAATTAATGGTAAAGAAACTAGTTGGGCATGTCTAGCAAATGAAAAATGTTTCACTCTTATTTTATTTGTCTAAAAATAATTATTTCCTGTTCCAAAATCACTGTATTAAAAGACTTATTACTGAGAAACTTTTATAAGCATCACACAATATCCCAAAATAGGAAAATATTTGCCATGTGGAAGTATAAAATTTAATCTGGCAAACAGCAATATTTATAAATTTTAAAGACAAACTTGTAAAAAGCACCTGCAGCATAGATGATAGAAGATTCATTTTTCTAACACATGAAAACTTTTACAAATCAGTATGACAATAGATGGGTGATCCAATTAGGAAAAGAATTGGCAAATGTTGTGAACAAGAAATCCTCAGGAGAAAATACACAGTCAATTAAAACACTGGAAAATACTTAAGCCCCACAGTATTATAAATTAAAACAACAATCTGCTTTATTAGAACACCAATAAGTAGTAAACAACTCACTGCTTGAAAACAATCCTTCTGTTACGTGCAACTGTAAAAGGGGTATAAAAGGAGAACTTTCCTCAATGAATGGATGTGAGGCATGCATGAGATAATGTATATGAAATTCACAGCCAGCACATGGTAAGCATTCAATAAATCTTAGCTGTATTTTATTAGTTTAAGCAATAAAAAATTAGGCCACACTTATGGAAGAACTATTGACTCTGCTCTTTTTTAATCCATTAACTGTCATGCACTTCTGTTTGTGATATTACCTGCCCCACCATTGTTTCCCAGCAGGGTCCTCGAGGTACATCTGCAGGGTGCACGTAGAAGGGTGCCCCGGTGCTATTTCCAGTGAGTGTTGCATTGTAGGCCTTGATCAAGTTGGCTTCCCACAAGGTAATATTGACCCTTACTAGCTTTTCCTCTTCAATCTAGAAAGCAAGAAATAGCAACAAAGGTGAACATAACACAGATATCAAATGCATGTCTGGCAGTCTTGAGACTGGGAATGTAACAACATGCTGATGGCAATCCAGACACACGATTTACCTTGTTGTTGATCTCATCCAACAAGGCAAGAATAAATACATACAAGTTGCCCAAAAGAAGAGCAAAAATGCGTATCAGTAGCCATTTTAGAGCAATGAGGGGATGGTAGTCTTCCAATTCAGCAAACAAGTCAAACAATGTTGGACAGAACATCCCCAGGAGGGACATGACCATGTTCATCTACAAGGAGACACAAGGGATAAATTGGGTTAATAGTATTTAGAAATTATTATTGCTTTCCTCCAGACTTTTGCAAAGTTCCAGCTAGATACCTTTGATCTTTTATTAGACTAAAGAAGATTATCTCGTGCATTTTAAAAATTTAATCTTAATAAAAAACATCAAAGTCAATATCAACTCACAGTCTCAAGATCTGGATGTATATGAGCTTGTATATGTGCCAGTAATAACAGTGTTTCCTGGTATAATGAGGGATGCAATTTACATCACTCACTACCCAAAGAACCCGTATTGTTCTTTATGCTAACTGATTCTGATATGATGATACACACTACACAACATATTTCCAAAGGCAATGGAAAATGATCTGCTTGAAGAATGAGATCCAAATTAGAAATAATAACTTGACAATCATCAGCATATGAGTTAGTTTAATTAGTTAGAATGAATGACTTCCTTGAGATGGGCTCAGAACTAAACATTGAATTCAGGGACATGCAAACTGTTAGGAGCAAAAGAAAAAGCACATTATCAAAAAAAACCCACAGAGGACATTCAGGGAAACAAAAGAAGAACATATAGTATGATGTTATTGAAGCCACTGAAGCCAAGGCAAGACAGTTTCAAAAGGATGACTGGTTCATGATGCCAAAAGCAAGAGGATGATGAGAGAGAGAGGGGTTGGGGGTGGGGGAGAGAAATAGGGCAAGTAGGAAATGTGTGGTCCTTCCCTCCTGACTGACTGGCATCCTTACAATTATATTATTTGGCTAAATTAAGTCAAAGGAAAAAAAATCCAGAGCAGGTACTACTTTTATGGTGGAGGAAAAGCCTTCCTTAAACTAAAAAAAAAAAAAAAATTAAAAAAAAAGGATTTATGGTAATGTTTCAGGTAACATTAGCAACTGTCCTTCATAAATACCTGGCTCGAACTGCCACCATTAAACATTTCCTATTTCCCCTTGTGGATTCCATATTTTGGAGGTTCTAGCAGGGGAGCGCAGCTACTCGTATACCCTTGACCGAAGACCGGTCCTCTCCTCGGGGGGGGAAGGTCGTCCTCTTCGACCGAGCGCGCAGCTTCGGGAGGGACGCACATGGATCGGTGAGAGAGGAGGGGGACACCCGCCTAGCCAGCCAGATCAGCCGAATCAACCCTGGCGATCAATGGGGTGACAGATGTCGCAGCCAGATCGCCCTCACATCCTGGATTCCATATTTTGATTAGAAGTACTAGACTATCTACACTAATAAAAGAGAAAAATGGTAATTGGTGTACAGCGCTACCGTTTTCATTGGCTAATCAGGGCTATATGCAAATTAACTGCCAACAAGGTGGCGGTTAATTTGCATATGTAGGCACAATGCAGGGAGGCGAAAGGGAAAGCAGGAAGAAGCCCCCTGCCACTGACAGTGATCGGAAACCCAGGGGGGAGCTAAGAGCTGGGGGTCAGGGCAAAGGCGGCCCTAGGGCCACCTTTGCCCTGCCCCCCAGCCATGATCGGAGAATTGGGTGGCAAGGCGCCTTTGCCGCCCTGGCCAGTGATAGCAGGAAGTAGGGGTGGAGCCAGCGATGGGAGCTGGGCACAGTCGAAGCTGGCAGTCCCAGGAGCTAGGGGTCCCTTGCCTGGGCCTAAAGCGGAGCCCACCATCGCGGGGCCGCTGCAGCTTCGGGTCCCCGCTGCCTGAGCGGGACGCCTCAGCCAGAGGCGTTAGGCTGGGCAGGGGCGGAGCCTGCAACCGCGGGGAGCTGGGGGGGCGGAGCCAGGGATTGGGGGGATATGATAGTCCCCTTGCCCAGGCCTGAAGCCTGGATCAGAGGCGTCAGGCTTGGGCGGGGGGTGGAACAAGCGATCAGAGGGAGATGGGGGTCCCCTGCCCAGGCATGATTCCTGGGCCAGAGGCCTCAGGCCTGGGCGGGGGTCAGAGCCAGTGATTCGGGGGGAGATGGGGGTCCCGTGTCCAAGCCTGACACCTCTGGCAGAGGCGTCAGGCCTGGGCAAGGGGCCGATCAGGCGATCGGAGGGTGATGGGGGTCTACACCTCTGGCTGAGGCATCAGGCCTGGGCAAGGGGCAGAGCCAGCAATCAGAGGGGTCTGGGGGTCCCCTGCCCAGGCCTGACACCTGGGCCAGAGGCATCAGGCCTGGGCTGGGGGCAGAACCAGTGATGGGGGGAAATGAGGGTCCCCTGCCCAGGCCTGACGCCTCTGTCAGAGGCGTCAGGCCTGGGCAAGGGGCCGATCCTGCGATTGGAGGGTGATGGGGGTCAACGCCTGAGGGCTCCCAGTATGTGAGAGGGGGCAGGCTGGGCTGAGGGACACTCCCCCCCCACACACACACTCAGTGCACGAATTTCATGCACCGGGCCCCTAGTATTTAGAAAATAATTGTCAATATGCTTTTTCCATTTTTATTAAGAACATTATATATGCATGACCAACAGGAGCTAAAAATCAGCATAACATAAAATCAGCATGATATCATTTCAGCCTAAAGTAAAAACTTGGCAGATCTTATACAATCTTATATAAGGTAAATTTAATTCTGTTTTATCAAATTTATAGTTATGCATAATTCCCCATTATTACCTTTGTTGGCTCCTAGGACTCAGGGATCTCCTAAAATGGGTATTAAACTGGTTCTTACAAAGAGTGGCCCTTTTCATGATTGACAATCAACTACCCATCCTTTACTGTGGTTCATTTATACAAAAATATAGTCAATATGAACCATAGATTAAAGTGGCATGATAATTGTGCCTATAAATATTATCACAACTATAAGAAAGAATGTTGACAGCAAATTTAGTAAAGGCTTTGAAGTTTATTTGTTTTAAGTAAATGAAATATCTCCACCAAATGACAGTTTCACAGGTTTCCATGAAATGTCTGTGTTTTTATAGTCTCTTAAATGAATGGCCTTCTATCTCCAATGTTACCATTGCTAAATATAGAATGCTTTTGTTTGTTAGTTTTTGTTGTAACTAATACCATTTTCTATCCCAACATGTTTAAGGAGATTCTACACTGTGAAGACTTAACCTTTTTGGTCTATGAGGCTCTGCAGAAATTTCAGTGTGGGAAGTCTATACTTCCCACAGACTAAGTCTACCCAAACTTTGAAAATGCCTAAGTTCTAAATGGTGCCACATTGCATGCTGGAACATTTTATTAAAGAGAATAGGCCTTAGCAACAATATATGATCAATGATTTCCTGATTTTAAATATCAACCTCTGACCTCCCTTCTCTGACCTGCTGAATGGGCAGATATGCTGGGGGAAAAATGACAATCTTATTTAATGCCTGGCAAAGAGTTAACCTTCCTAATTTGAATAGCATTCAGAGGGGGAGGAAGGCAGGCTAGGAGGAGAAAAGGGAGATAGGGAGTTAGGCTGCTAGTGAAAAAGAGCGAGAAGCCCAGACTTGCCCAAAGTGGGGGAGGCAATCTGAATGTGTCCACGAGATAAACACAGGAACCAAGGCTCTATCATCGCTGCTTCAGAGAATTCAGGCAACAAGTGGATCTTTCAGTTACAGATGCAGGATCTACAGAGAAATCAGCATGAAAAGAGTGTGGGGCTTGAAACCAAGAATCCTAGGTTTTAACTCACTTTTCTCCATAGTTCTGTGACCACGAACACATCACCTAATCTCCTGAGAGTCCTCATCCTCTTGTAAACTATACTGGTTGGAATACATGTGTGCTAACATCTCTCCCAACTGTAATGTTCCAGAATGTCCCAAAATGAAGGACAACCAGTAGACAGCTTTGCAAATAAGGCTGGGATAGACTGGAAAATGTAGGACAGGATTGGCTAACTCATAGGGCAGATGGAGGAAAGAGGTAGAGAGTGGCCTTATTTAATGTTCTGCCATAGAAGCATAACCCACAAAATCTCAAATGTCAGGTTCTAAGCACATAAAAAGCATGCAGAGACGAACTTCATTTTTTTCCCACCACCCAAGGGTGTCAGGATCTTGCTGCGCAAATTCCTGGGATCTCTTCACAGCCCAAAAGATGAGGTATCCACTCCCGGCAAGCGTTAGAAACACGAAGAAGTTAGCGAGAAACCTCAGGAATCTGATCAAATGGATGTTTTCTTCTACTTGGGCCGCTCTTTCTTCGATTATGGCTTCCTAAAACCAGGAAAAGGAGAAATATCTGAGCTACACAAGAATCATGAACTCAGGAATTAATTTTTCTAACATCCGAATGTAAAATGTGAAAATAAACTAAATCTGGGATTTCACAAACCAGTGAATATTGCCAGTAAGTGAGAACAAGTGAGAGAAAGGAGGAATTCTTACAAACCATCTCTAGCCACTCTAATAAGATAGTCTTCATTCTCAATTCTCTTCCAGTATAGTTTTCTAAAAGCTACAAAATAATACTTCAAAGTCATCTTAAATATTGAGCATTGTTCTGTTATATAAAATATCTGATTCTGATTACTAATGGTCCTCTATTTTAAGCCAATGGCATTATTTTAATACCAAATGTATTGAAGAGATAGTGCTGTTGTGGGTCATCAGATATTTTCCAGTCAGAATCAGAACTCTGCCCAAGTCCCAGTAGGCAGAAATGATGAGTTAATCTTTCTTTAAATTGTCAAGATACTTTGTGAGCTGGAACATATGGGATTGCTCCCATTTTACTCTGACAAATATAAAGAAAAGCCCTAGGCAGTTTTGCTCAGTGGATAGAGCGTCGGCCAGCGGACTGAAGAGTCCCAGGTTCTATTCTGGTCAAGGGCATATTCCTGGGTTGCAGACTCGGTCCCAGTAGTGGGCATGCAGGAAACAGCCAATCAATGAGTTTCTCTCATCATTGATGTTTCTATCTCTCTCTCCCTCTCTCTTCCTCTCTGAAATCAATAAAAAATACATATATTAGAAATACAAAGAAAAGACTCTGGAAGGTGGCCACCTTTACCTTAAAGTTCATTGTGATAGAATTGAATTTGTTGTCTGCTGTTTCCGGATTGCCGATCAGGTAGTCCCAGCTGGTGAACACCTTCCAGCTGAAGTTGAAGGTGTTGTCATCACCACCCCCATCGTCACCAATATTTTGGGTCATTCTATAAAAATAGGAAGTTTAATCCAGCAACCAGAATACATAAAAAGGGGGAGAATAAAGGGAATGTTAAAACATCATAAGTATAGGTTAATTGGAGAAGCAATAGCTAAAAGACATATTTTCAAACACTTTTTTTAAATAACCAGAAAATAGAAGTTTATTTTTAAATTTTGTTTTAAATTTTTACACTGTGCATTTGTCAGGCTTTCAAGATTAAAAGACTTGATGATTTTAAAAATTAAACAGGTTATATAAAAATACATATTTTTATTTGTTTTCCTAAACTGTTTTCTTAGCTCATATACTTGGCTCTTAACCTTTTGTGGGATAAGGCTCTCTTTAGAAATCTGAAGGAAACCATCGGGTCCCTCCCAGGAAAAGAAAATATGGGTAGGCTCTGACACTGTTCTACATAACTTCAATGGTTCCCAGACCCCCTGAAGCCTCGAGATGGACGAAGCCAGGTCAGGTCAGGAAATCACTGCATATATTTCAATTCTCCCTAGAATGTCCTCCAAAAAAGTGATTGCACCAAATGCATGACATTTCTCCATTACTCTGCAACTCTTGATCAAAAATCAAGATAGTAGTTGCACATATTCTACTCAGTGACTTAAAAAATATTTTTTTGGATTGGAAAGTTTAAAATCACTTACTTGAACATTTATTTCAGTAGTTAGAGAACTGTATTATACATATTCCACTTCCTTTTCCCCCTAATCACTAAAAATAGCAAAACTGAAATTTCATATGATACATATTATAAAATGGTCCTATAAGGCTTTGGTTTTTTAAATATGACAGTGATTATGGAACCCAAAATGAAAGAAGCAATATGATATAAATGTGACATCATAGGTTGACAGGCATCTCTAAGGTCATCTAAATTCCCCCAATGTCCCCACCCCTTATGAAAGTTTATCTATTTTAAATGGGCTAATGTGTTATGAAAAAAAAAACAAATATATTTGGTTCAAATAGATCTTACAGTCAAATGGTTGTAGGCAGGTCACTGGGTATGTCTAATATTATTTTATCATCTGTAAAATAATTAAACTATTACCTACTTTGTAATGTTTAAGGGTTAATAGATAAATATATTCTCTCTTTTCCTAATTTAAAAATATTTATATGCATGTATTGAAGCTGGTTTATGATATATATAGGTTTTTAATATATAGAGGATAGTCTATGTGGACAAAATTTTTAACACTATTTGAGGCTTATATGTGTACATTATTTAGGTATTCAATGCTCTGCTTGTTAGCTTAGTCTATTATGGCCAGTCTCATAAACAGAAAAAGAGGTATATCTAATCTCAATGAACCCTACAACAGGTGAAAGTCTTGGGAACGCCTGTTGGGATAAAACAGACAGCAAGAGCCATCTCAGTAAGGCATGCTTGCCCTGAATGACTCAGTTATTTCCAGTAGTTTGCTGCTCTGGATATGCCAAAATTTTTAGCTCAAAGAACTGTTTTAATAGGAACAATTAGATATTGAAATTACAGCACCTTTACTTTGTGATACAAAACTTCAAAGAGATGAAGACAACATATGAAGGGGCTAATGGTCTCCATGTTATGCAACTTTACATTATGCTGTATTAATTTGCTTCTAATACATATGTAACTTTTGATTATGAATATTTCTAAGCTTAGTAAGTGGTTAGTAATGTATACTGCCTCAGAAGGAAGGAAGAAAAGAAGGAAGGAAGAAAGGAAAGAAGGAAGGAAGGAAGGAAGGAAGGAAGGAAGGAAGGAAGGAAGGAAGGAAGGAAGAAAGGAAGGAAGGAAGGAACTAAGACTATAGTGATCAACCATCTTGGTTTGCCAAGGACTGAATGGGTTTCCAGGTCACAGGACTTCAGTGCTAAAAGAGGGAGAGTCCTGAGTCAATAAAGTTAGTCACACTGTCTTAAAACCTCAAAAAACTTTCTTGGATTTCCATATCATATTACCTTCCAATTTCCCTATTAAATAATTAAAATTAGATATTGGCCACCATTTTATAGATGAGGATGCCTAGACAAACAGTATGGGCAAGATGTTGAAGTCCATCCATAGATTAATTGATTTTAAAACCTAGATTCCCTTCTATTTGATTTGAATAATGTAACTCATAAAGCCACTGATTTTTATTCCAATAATATATCCTATCGGGGTAGGGATGAGGGGAGGCAATGATAAATGATTTTGTACAATCACTTATATCTCATTAATTCTCTTTCTACCAAGCCTTGTTCCCAAAGCTAGGAGTGGGTGGGAGTTATGAATTGCTTTGTAACTGTTTTGCAATACATAATAACGAGTTTAAACCACTGGCCAATCAGGTAACAAACAACCAAAGGTCCATGCTAGAGGGAGGGACCAAAACCAGGTTGGTTTCATCGACATAATATGAATGACTTTAAGAGAGAAAAATGTGGATTTTGTGCCCTGCAACTATGCTAAATGGCATCTTTAAGCTAGTTAGGAAAAACTGTCATTTCCTCTAGGCTGGCATTATCCAATATGGTCACCACCAGCAACATGTGGTCACTGAATGCTTGAAATGTGATAATATAAAATACACACAAGACTTCAAAGACAGTACCAAAAAAATCCTCAATAATAATATTATTTTTTATATGTTAATGCATTTGCTATATTGAATAAAATGTATTATTAAAATTCATTAATTCGATGTTTCTCTCTCTTCCCTCCTCTCTCTCAAAAAAATCAATAAAGGTATTTCTAAATTAAATTAATTTACCTGTGTAAATTAATACGGCTCCTAGAAAATTTTACGTGAGATGTGTGGTTCATCTTGTATTTCTTTGCACAATGCTGTTCTATAATCTTAAAATTCACCAACTAGAAAATTATTGTAATGAATACACAAATCCATTAATGTGCAACCGCATAAACCTATGCGACTGCTCTGTCATTGGGGTTACATTTGATTCTTCAATAATCCAGTGGGTTATAATCTTAACAAAATTATCGACAGTTATTAATTATTTACCACCAGCCAGACATGTTCTCAGTATTAACTCATTTCATGTATTAACTCATTTAGTCCTCATGGCCCTCCTAAGACCAAGGTGTTATTACAACTCTATTAAGAGGGAAACTAGAGAACAGAACATTTGTGTAAATTGTCAAAGGTCTTTTAGTCCATGGTAGAGCTTGGGCAGTAGATAAATATTTTGGATGTGTGGTCTCCATGAAGGCTTTCATCATGTCATGAAGAGGCTTAAAAACTAAGTATGACAGTGTTCTTTGGTGGAACCAGTCATTGTGACAGGGACAAGACCCAAAGTGTGCCACAGACTTGGACCCTCAGACAAGGCCCTTCCCTGAAGTGAAGCAAATGGTCAGTTCTCCCTGTGCAGGGTCAACTAAAAGAGTTGGGACATTAATTGAGGTGTCTCTCTTTTTCCCCTAAGCTAGAGCAGAGAACTGGCTGAAGGGCAGGTTGCTCATAGCCCCAAACAACCGTGCTAGGTTTCCGCAGAGTATTACAAATACGGGGGGCGGACGGGGAGTAGGTTCACAGTTGTGAGTACATGATACACCATGTTTATCCTTGTATTATTATTTATCATTGCATTATTTTCCATACATACAACTGTAAACCTACTTTACCCCCACCCTATGCATTTCAGGCAGAGGAAAAAATTGTTTCATCAGTTCCCTATAAAATTCTTCCTCTTGCTCTAATAAATCCTTTTCTAAGACAAACCATGATGATACTGTTGATCATGATGGTCTCGTGGGGGCCATTTGTTTTTGCCGCCTTATGCAGCTGCAATTTTTTGGATGAGTGATTATACTAGCTTTTAAAAAAGAACAGAGAACAACCGTTTCTGCCTATTGAACTGGTTCTGCAAGTCACAAACCTCTTTACACAAAACGAGGGGTCAGCAGCTGTTTCCCTGTCTTGTTTGCAACACTGATTCACACGTCAAAGTACAAAAAGGCACATTTTAAAAATACGCTTAAACACAGGACGGGTATGCAGTGAGATGACCCAAAGACCGCAGTCATGTTCAATCCTTTTGTTTGGAGGTTATAATAATCTAACATTAGCATCGGTACTAGAATGACATTTTATCTCATAGATTGCATCCTCTTCAGTGGTTCTCAACCTGTGGGTCGTGAACAATGAAAATACACCCTGCATATCAGATATTTACATTATGATTCATAACAGTAGCAAAATTACAGTTATGAAGTAGCAACAAAAATAGTTTTATGGTTGGGGGTCACCACAACATGAGGAACTGTATTAAAGGGTCACGGCATTAGGAAGGTTGAGAACCACTGCAAATGTAAAACAGAAAAAAAAATTACATCCATTCTCCAGTTTAATTCCAGAAATCATTGCCTGCTTCCCAAGAGCCCAATGAAACTTACGCTTTAAGGACAACTACAAAGCTGTATCCAATGCAGCTGATCCCCACCAGGAAATAGGAGAGCGGCATCCTAAAATTCATCCATCCAATTGTTCGCTGATTGTCGTAATAGCCATAAAAGAGCACAGAATACTGCGCCAGGCCCTAAAATCCAACAACAAAGCCACTTAGCAGATGCCATGAAGAGAAACTCAAAAGAAAAGAAAGATGGATTTTTAAAAGGAATGACAAAATGACATTAATTTTCAAACTTGGGAGATGTCTCTGACATGAGCCCCATTGTTTTGCTTCAGAGAGTGAATGTTTCAGCTGCCACATTGATTGGCAGTTACTTGGTTTACTTGAAATTCAGGGACTTCTAAATAGACCCAATTTTTAATCAAGTACAGGTTTGCTCAGCTGTGGAGCCATTACCATGAAATGCCCATTGATTAGAACATCAAAACAAAAGGAAAGAGACTCACAGAGAGATAACAGATTGACAGCTGTCAGAAGGGAGGGGCATTGCAGGGCTGGGTGATAAAGATGAAGGGATTTAAGCAACAACAACACAAAACAAAAAAACCTCATGGAGACAGACAACAACATGCTGATTACCAGAGGGAAGGGGATGGGGGGAGGTAGAAGAAGGTAAAGGGGGATAAATGGTGATGGAAAGAGACTTGACTTGAGGTGGTGAACACACAATATACTATACAGATGATGCATTATAGAAGTATACACCTGAAACCTATGTAAGTTTATTAACCAACGTCACCCCAATAAATTCAATAAAAAGTTTATGGTGTCATCCGATTTATAATTGTAAGAACTTGCTTGATATTTGGGGGAGGGTGTGAAACAATTGTGATGGCAGGTTCCACTTCCAGTCACCTGAGCCACAGTCAGACTGGTTCTCCTACCCCCCAGAGCTGTGTCTTAGCTTGCGTGAGGAACAGGTGAAGTGATCTGCACAACCTTCTATTCATCAAGACTATTACATCCCATAACCTCCCATAACCAGCATGTTTATCTCTTCCAAAAATTACCCAGTGGGGTTAGAATCACCATTTCCCCAAGTCAACTGAGGGGGACATACACAGAACATGGGCATATTCTGAGGCTGCTTCCTTTATAGTCCTTCCATCTTTCTCTCCTTCTCTTACTCAGTGTTTTCTCACTCTCTGCATGGAAGCATTTTTTCTGTGTTACTATATATCCACTTCCTGAGCTTCTGTCTGCGTTTATCTCTCAGGCAATAACTTAAAATGACTGTGCTATATAAAGTGAGGAGACAGCAACTTGCCAATGTGGGGCTTCCTCCTGAGGTCAAGTGAGTCACCCTTGAATCTGAAAAAATTAAATTGGCTGGGACTTTAACATCATTTATACCAAGCCAGGCACTTTGAAGCCCACTGTTGAAGAAAGGAGGAGAGGAAATGGGAGGGGGAGGGGGAAGAGAAGGAGGAAGAAGAGGAAATGTCCTAGATGCTAATTTTCAAGAGAAGAATTAAGAGAAATAATTTAGAAAATTGCCTTAAAAAAAGATTATGCCTAGTTCAAATCAGAAGCCACCTGAAATCTGAAAAAAAAACAAACAAAAAAAAACAACTATTGCTCCCAAAATCTGCAGCAAATTTATTTTTTAATACTCTGTGAGAATTAGCAGGGGGGGGGGGGGGGGGGAATTTCAGAAAAATCTCAGAAGAGCTCCCGAATTTAAGTAGGATCAGGATGGGATGGGAGGGGTATAGCTCAAAACCAAAGTGGTTCCCTGCACCATATCTGCCTGTATCTGCATTTTTCAGCTCAAGAAAAGATAATTCCAAACCCCAGAGAAAATGTGAGGCTAAACAACTAGTAGAAACCCCAAGTAGAGAAAGCAAGTGAGCTAATCTCATGTCTAAGATAGGAAAGAATACCAAATAGACCTGAACTGGCCAACTGTCCAAGACCCAGAAATCTCAGGAGAATAATCATCGGGAAGAGTTCCCTGCATCTGGTTCCATGCCATATATATGTTTTTATTGATTTCAGAGAAAGAAAGGGAGAGGGAGAGAGAGATAGAAACATCAATAATGAGAGAGAATCATTAATTAGCTGCCTCCTACCCCCTCTCCCCCCACTGGGGATCAAGCCTGCAACCTGGGCATGTGCCCTGACCGGGAATCGAACCATGACCTCCTGTTTCATGAGCCGATGTCAACCAATGAGCCACACCGGCTGGGCCATGACATCTTCTTTCACATTCATCTAGGTGAGGTCTCTGCTTCCTCTCAGCTATTTTAAATCCAATGCCCTGTCCAGAACCTTCAAACTGGCCCTCTTGTCCCCAGGGAATAACAGACCCTGGTAAGTACTGGCACTTGGCCCCTTGTGTAGTTTAAAGATATCCTGAACTGTTTCGTTTTTTCCATAACTATAAGGCATTCATTTTATAATTATTTCCTGCAACTGACTCTTACCTCATTTCCATGCTACAGTCCTGACAATGGTGATAATGGTTGCAGTAATAACATCAATCAATACATTTTGTTGAGCACTTTGCATGTGCTTAAACCCTGACTTCATCTCACAGAATCCTCACAAGAACCCAAGGAAGTCACTACTGTCAGGGAAAATAGTTTTCCTCAACTCTTGATGAGTTCTTCCATGTGCAGAAACCCAGAAATGTAATGCTTCCAGCCCCTCTCCATTGCCTCATGCTAGCCCCAGGGAGGAGAAACCATCTGAGAGAAGGGCATGCAGGAGCAAATGGGCATGATGTGGGCCACTGCTCCTCCTCCTCCTGCGAGAGCACAGGCTGTGCTCTGTCCCTGTAGAGGGAGGCCTGGCCTGGCCTAGACTGGGATGCCCACTTGCCCATAAAAAGGGACCACGTTCTTTAATATCTGCTTTAACAAGAATAAAGGCGGCATGTTGACCTCCACCTTTAGCTTATCTCTGGTTAGCACACAACCTGGTTGGATAGGGAGGAGTGTTATTTATAACAACACACACACACACATACACACCTCCCTGCCCATCTCAGTAACTTGTCCAAGTTCCCATAGCTAGTAAGTGACAGAGTGTGAACTTGAACTGGGTCTGTCTAATACAAATCCTATATACTTAACCACTGTGCTATACTCCTTCTCCTGTGCTTTCTTTGCCTACCAGGCCTTGTATCATGCCAGTGCCATACATTCCCAGTTAAACAAAAATACAAGGAAACCCTACCAACTCAGCAGGAACTTGTGACCTATATCCCAGGATTGGTCCCTGGAGGTGCCAGGATCTCTTGAAAAAGGCCCCAGTGCTCCTTTTGAAAAGCTTTCAGAGGACCTCATCTCTCTGTTCATAAACATTACAACCTTTACATCTTTTTCTAATTCATAATGATGCCTCCAAAATAACATGAAAGGAGGAAGGAGCTATCCAGCAAGCAGCTGGTGAGCTTGTTAGGTTAGCACAATAGCCACTGGGGCAGCTGGCTCATCTGGTGTATGCACCATCAACATATGTTCAGTGACTGGCACTTCATAAATGTTAGATCACATCCAAAGTTGCAAGGGCCCTGCGCTTTTTGGAATCCTGATAATTTGACAAAGGCTTCTTCAGTTTGCCTGTTACTTCATATGCAGTCAAGTATAAATGAAAGAGGTAATATTGATGAGCATAATTTTTAAAAGCTTTATCCAATCCATCTTGAGGGGTGGCTTTAAACAGGAGTTGAAAAGCTTACGAGAGGAACACCCTCCCCTTCCACCCAGACGACCCACCACACTCCTCACATTTTTCTCCTTTCCTTAAAACTCCAACAGCAGACATCTGGAAGTGACTAAAATAGCAGTGACTCCTAGCCCAGCCAAGGTTTGACTCGGTTTCCATATCAGCATGCATGGCTTTCTGTGTGGGAGCTCTCTCCCACCCCAAAATCTGTGACAGAGAAACCACAGTATGAGCCAAGTTTCAAATGAGCACAGAGAAGTCCTGTCCAACTCTGGGCTCCATGCATCTGCATCGTCTATTAAGACTCTAATTTCTGTTTCAATGCTGCAGCTGGTCTAGTCTATAGCCGCTAACACCCTTTGATAAGAAAGAGAATGCTTTGATGATGTAGTTGCTAGGAAACAACCCATGTAATTATTTATCTAAGTAACTTTTATTTGCCAAATACTATACATAGGTGAAGTAGAGACTGGATTATAGAGGCCCTCAAAAGAGTTCTGCACAAAAAGTATTTTCTTCATAAGTGCTTATCACCTGAAATTATATTAGAACTCCACCCCTGTGGTGTTTCTCATGACTACAAATAGAGTGAAAGAAACATTCTATCCCCAGGGTGGTAAATGAGTTTCAATATCCTTAGCAATTCTGTGTAAGTTTTCGCTATTATCAGACCACTATTTTGAAGAAGAAAAAAAATCATGAAGTCAAAACTGATAAGAAAGGAAGATGTAACTTCCATGTGTGCCAAGACATGAGAGAGTACCACACAAGTTGGGGTACAGTTCTATTTCTCTGAGTTGTTAACAGTCAATTTATACCTTAGTGTGAAAAGTTTCAAGCATGGATGAAACAGAGATGATGTCACAATATCTGAGAGAGTGGGACACAGGAGAGAAGCAAGACATGAAAGGCTAACAACACCCCAAACCAAGGTTAGCTAACTTCACAAGAACAGCAGCCAGCCTAGCCTTAGGGGCTACATGCTGATATCTAGCCCAGGGCCACTCCTTCTCTCCAATCAGGCTCAGCAAGCTTCCACCTAATGCTCTGCTCACCTCTGAGCGTACTTTCCTTTTGCCACAACCCAGACCCAGAGTTATGAAACAAATGCCATGTGGCTCTTCGAGAGGGCATATGTGTTGATGCCCTCAAACCTCTTCCTCCCTCCTAGACAGGTGGCACTGCTGCTGACACCTTTCCCCTGCTGGCTTGTGGATGCCTTGCTCTCACAATCAGGGCTCCCTCTTCCTGCCTCTCCTCATATAAGCCATTTTTGCATGGGAAATAGAGTTAATTTACTGGATCCTCTCAGGACTCCACTAAACTTCAACACTGAATCCTTCCTCCATGGGCCTCCAAGTACTTTGATATATATCTGTTAGTTTGGGGCTGTCACATTGGATAGCACATCCAATTAGACCATAAGGTCCCTGTGGGCAGGGATTATATGTTAG